CAGCCGCTTTTATCCAAAGCGACGTACATCTGAGAGCAGATACAACACAAGCAAGGATCTAGTCAGGTTATGTAAAGAAAGAAAAACTCAGTAATAAATTGTTTTTATCATCCAAAAATGTATGATTTGGATACAATAATCCAGAACGAAAAGCTACAGTAGTCCTTTAATTCCACTTAATAAAAAAAAGATCTTAACAGAGAAGACAGATCTTAATAGGATTGGAGCTCATGTCCCCTGACCCTCCCAAATTCATCCTTGGGGATTTTATCAATCTATTTGCTTATTTTATGTTTTATTTTCTATTATGTGTTTGTTTGTTTTTTTTTGTCTTTACATTAAATACTCAGTGAGCTTTTGAATTGCCCCTAGAGGATAAATAAAGGTATTTGAACTGAATTGAATCGAATTGAAATCAGTCTAATAAGGCATCATTTTCTTAAGATGCTAACACTTAGCTAAATGCTAACCCCAGTTTGTGCCACTCATGTATCAAACCCACAATTTACTGCTGATTTGAAGGTATTTCTACATGCCTGAAACAAGACTTCATTAAGGAGTTAATTTATTGTTAAAGTGCACATTTTGCAAGTTCCCGTGAGCCTGATAAAGAACTGAGCGTAAAGCTTTTAGATTTAATAAAAATATTCCTTTTAGGTTACATTTGTTTTTTACAGCGTGAGTGTGCAGCGTGCACCATAAACACGTGTGGTTTGTGGTTTTCTCATGACATGCATTGCTGCCACATTGGGCAGGACAGTTCAGACTTCATACAGCAGGATTTTAGTATATTACAGATGTTCTCATACTGTGGAGGATAAATGACAAAAACACTGTGAACTGAAAGGTGCAGGTGTTGATGAGAAGTATGGGCACTTTTGGCCTAAAAATCAACATGATTGACAGATGTAGCAGCAGCGGCAGTCATACACAGCTCATTGAGGCAATGTGGGTACAAAACGTCAGGGCGATCCATTCAGTAGTTGATGATAAAGCGAACCCCGCTGCCATAGACGGAGTGATGTCGCTGTAATGGCTAAAAACACATCCTCAGTTTCTGTATCGTCTCCTGTATTTTCTGTTAGCAAATGCATTTCACTAAGTTACAGTCACACCATGACTACGGCACAAAAACAAATAGCAGGATGGTTGGCAACAATTATATTTGCACTTCCTGTGGAGCCTGACAAGAAAAATCTTCCCTCACAGCTCACTGTAAACAGTTTCATCAAGTGACAGGTACATTTGTGATTTTAATCTTATTTCTTTATTGGAAAGCACTTCAGGTCAAAGTCTGTTGTTTGAAATGTGCTGTATAAATAATGGTGGGTTGATCTGACAGTAATTCTGATCTCTTGTTCAGAGCCTGACCGCCGTTGAGGGATGCGATTGTCGAATTGAGCGATGTTAAATGGGACAGTCTGGACTTCCTGTTTGCGTCACCAACTGTTCCCATGTTGCATTTCAGAGTGCTGCTCCTGTTGCCCATCAACTTTGACAGCTGAACTTATATGTATCCCGACAAAAGTCTTTCTTTTCTTTTTTTTAAAAAACAAAATGGCGCAGGAAATTCTGATTCTTTGTGTTGTTGTTTTTTGTTTGTCTGAGCATATCGTGAAGGAAATACTTGCATTTAAAAGTGCACTCTTCAGCTGCCCAAGTACAGCTTGCAGACTCTTTTCCATTTGCCATTTTCTCCAGAACCTATTGTAGCATGCAGTGGATGTTGGGAAACGTTGGGCCACGACGGATCCAGCTGTTCAATCCTTCGCAGGCCGGGAGGAGAAGGACACATTTTTGTTTTAAGCTTTCGAGTTGCAGCCCCTGAACTGGACACAGCTATGGTTTGTCCAGCTCTGACTCCATTGTTCGCAACACTCTCAGCGCTGTCTGCAGCACATGCAGCAGAGCATGCATCACAGCTGAGTAGTTGGTGATGCGGAGCCAAGCGGCCTCCTTATGTTGATAACGAGTTAGTGAAATACATTAATTGAAAGTTAATGGACAATGACCCTGTTGTTCTCCCTTTTCAATATAACTCAAGCATATATGTAAAGTATATATAAAGAATATCAGCCGATATATCACATTTTTTACCTTCTAAAATCTGCATCGGCCCCAAAAATCCACCGTAGTTTGGGCTCAACTCTTATTGTTTGGCTCCCAGGTGAAGAAGACTGATAGATCATTATTTTTCATTAGACACTGGCACATAATTTATCTGAGAAAGACCATCAATGCCTCCGAGTCAGGAAGGGGAGAGTTTTTCTCAGCTGAAGAAAAGCTGTTCAGACTCCAGCTAAACTTTCTCCTCAGTCCACTCAACAGTCAGTATTAAACAAAGAGGGCTGATTGTGAAACCAGCAACTCGTATTAACAAGATCTTCATAAGTGACATGTCACCTCTTACCCGCCTTATATTATCTGAGTTCATCAATAATCATTAATGTGTTATTGTGTGTCTGAAGTGTTGTTGGAGTTGAGAAAGCTCAGTTCTAAGTGTCCAGGGCTGCTTGTGCTTTCTGAACAGCAACTTCCAGCATCGTGTGGTCGCTGAGCAGCTGTTGGAGGGCAGCTGGCTCCATCTCCAGCAGCATACCTACACAGACAGAAATGTCATCAGTGTCACGCTTATAGAGTGTTCAGTCTTTATTCACACCTCGTAAGGCCTCTACAGTAAGAAAAACAAACCTCAACATATATTACATATTGAGTAAATAAATATAAAGTATTTATCGTATCACCTGTGATGTCAGTTGCATGAAGTGAATCCATTTTCTCCACCAGGGAGAAGAGCTTCTCTCCCAGCTTCTCTGTGTCATCAGTCTCAGAAGAGTCACTGACGTCTGTCTCCTCCACGTTCTGCCTGAAGGAAAACAGGAACATTATTACAATTCTTATTTAATGTTTCACTGTGTAAATCGGATCTGCTATTGTCTGCTTAGGAAAACTAAAGGCTGAGCTAAAAATGACAAGAAAAGAAAAGGAATATGTCCTTAAAAGCAAATCTGAGTATATTCTACACACTGTAATAAGCTACTTACTCCTTTAGGGTCTTCAAGGCGAGGGTCACCTGCTCCTCCAGCACTTTGGGGTCAGAAAGAAGGTTTAAGACTGCATCTTTGTGCTGCTCCAGCAGCATTCCTATGGAGGAACAGGGAATCATATATTTACTGCAATCCATACAAATAACTCAGAAATGAATTCACATAACATTTTAACAAGACTGGGTTGTTCTAGCTGCTCTGTGAGGCTGCATTAAGGCGAAGCAACACTTGAAGCTGAAAGTAGTTGCAAACATGGCAGGATGCTCACAATGACAATGTAAAGATATCATTTTTTAGAAGTTTTTTTTTTTTAAATATATGTTTCTGATACTGAAGGCTGATGAGACTGTTGTTAGTTTTGCAGGTATTTGGATAAATTTGACCTGACATTTAAATTTAGAGGAAAAGTTAACTGACCATCTAATCTATTTATTATTAGCATGGACAAAAATGTGCTTTGGTTCCTTTAATAAGTAGTTGGTTAAACAGCAAACTGGAAGATCAAACTGAAAGACAAAAACCAATTTTGGATTTTACAATTTAGAAATACATTTTTTTTAAATAAACAGGAATAGAGACCCTATCATTGTGAGAGGTTACTTTGAAGCTACCTTGACCATACATCTGCTTTTACTATAGTTAATCTAACCCCAAAACTCATCTCTGGGTATCAGAGTTACATATTTAGACATTTTTCCAGTCCCTGCCTCTCTGTCCTCTCACCCCTCCCTACTTACAGCAGCTCAAGCACACCAGCTTACTTACAACTCTGTTTAAACACTGTGAAACTACTCCACACTGCACAATGGCAAGTTGTTATATTTGAGTATTTCAGTCATACATACCTGAACTAGATACCAGTTCTGAAGCAGAATAATGATACAAAAGGTTCCATCTCCACAAACTGACAGGTATGGTTCCTTAGGTTCATTACATATGAAAGCCTTGAAGTCTGAAGCTGTGTTTTGAGACTGTCACCAGTACACTCCAATGTCGAGCCAGAAATGTTCAGCCACGGTGCTGACTGCTTATTTCTCTCATGACGTCTACCAGCATATAACAAACACCGTATGTACACATTAACAATGTAAAATAAATTAGACTTTCACCAGAGAGGGTCCTTAATTGAACTTGTTCTGAAAGCAAAGTCACTCATTAGTTGCTTCATCTCTTTGTGAAATTTCACCACATAATACAAGATATTATTTAAATCTGGAGACATTTTTACTCACCTGTGATTTTCTGTGAGTGTCCAGTGTTGTAGACGTCCACCAGCTCAAACAGCTGCTCGCCCAGAGAGTCAGAGGACACAGACACCTCGTCCTCATCCTTACACGTTACCTTGCTGTACAGAAATGCAATGACATGAGAACACATCATTGTAAGGGATGTGATGCTTCAATAAATTCCACAAGAGTGTCACTTACACATGTAAAAAGTACTAAATTAAACTTGGTCTTAAAAAGGTGATGTTGCCCCCCAATGACTGTTTAACAGTATAATAGGCTTTATTTACAGTGAACATGACTCTGTGCATTTAAAATCTACTCCTCATCAGACTCAGAAGCTACTACTCCAACCACCACCCCTGTCCTGTACCAGGGTTCCTGTGCCAGTTGCAGGGCTCTGAGGGCTTTCTCCACAGCTGCCGTCAGCAGGGACTCGTCCTGTAACATCTGACTCAGCACAGGACCGGGCAGCTCCAGTAACATACCTGAAACACACAGGCAAGCTTGGAAACTTTGGGTTTATGGCAGTTACTGTCATGCAGTAACAATATAACTGTTTCTTTTTTTTTATGTATAGAAATCATGATTCATGACATCACAAAACAAAATGTGTCCCCTCACCTGTGAGTTTCCCAGCATCCTCTTTGTGTTTGGGGTAAATCAGAGAGTACAGCTGCTCACCAAGTGTCTCCAGATCTTCTTCATCATCCATGCTCAGCTTCTTACATCAACTTCCTGCTCCCACCTGCCATGTTAAAATGGACTGTAACTTTAAAATGAGCTGGTTTCCAGGTGACTTTCACCTCTGACAACTTTTTGGTTCACATCCTCCAATCACATCAGCATTTGGACAGAAGCCACAAAATACTTTACAAAATCGGCATCCAAAAATGTAGATTTTCTCTACTAGGCTCGGGGTAATTAGGCTGAGCGTGCTCCACCTTCAGTTGTAATTTACTCTAAAATATCACCCCGTGTGAAGCGTAAAAAACAGCTGCAAATATTTTCGTGCAGAATTTCTGACGGTTGTCTGTAAACACGAGACGCACAATGATGACGTCAAGTTTTCACTCACCGCGGTGAATGTGTTCCTCCGCTGTTTTACAAATAACTAGTACTCCAAGAGATCGCTCAAAGTTTACTAAAGGAACGTTATTTTTTAAAACACTGCCACGAAGATAATTATTGCTCGTTATATGTGTTTTAATGTATATAAATATGGTTTAAATCTCAAATATCTTACAAAATAGGTAGGTTAGTGTGCGCAACAATCTGAGACAGAGGTTCCGTAAACCGGTTTCCGCTCTCTCCGGTCCTTTTCCTCCGCTAAAAGGTAACGTGGTCGCTTCAGCTGCTAATAGCCGGTCACTAAAGTATAGTTGTTTTCTTTCTATAATTGTATTTACACGTATAAAGTAAGACGTTATTCTTGTGTTCATTGTTATGCACCACATTTGGCTGTAAATACTTCTGTTCTGGGTAGAAAAGTGATGATAAACTTGTTACCACGTCGCCCTGGTTAGGCCTCGCCTTGCTCCTCCGCTAGTGTTAGCAAACCGTGCTAACCTGTAGCAGCGGCTCTGCATGTTTTCGTTATATGAACGCAAACATAAAACCAAAGCACCCTTCTTTAGTATTAGAGCACCTGCTTACTTTCTCTATACATTTTCTACTCTATGGGTTCAAACGGGGGCATTAAGCTAACGCACATAGCTAACATTAGCGGCGGAGAAAAGGAGAGCAAACATGAATGACGCCTGTCAGCGCGGAGCGGCGGCTGTTCAAACGTGCGTTAAGCTGTAACTGGAAGATATTTCAGTAACACCTCATCCTCTCTTTCTTTCCAGGTTCACCATGTCGTCCCATTTGCAGTGGATGGTCATCAGGAACTGCTCCAGCTTCCTCATCAAGAGGAACGGACAGACCTACAGCACTGTGAGTACACTGCTCAGATTTACAGACTCGCACACCAGAGCTCTGTGTGATCACACCGGAGTCTGTCAACTAACATGACATTTTTGGATGGTTTAATGTACAGTAGAGTAGTGGGCTAGCAGTGCAATACACAACGCCAGAAAGCAATTGGAGGACTGTATAAAACAACAAATAAATATGAAATCTCGCTGAAAATATTGTGTTCTGTCTTTGAAGTTGCATTAGTTACTGACTTCGTACAGTCACAATTTGACCATGTGTTGTTAATTTCTTCAATGTCCATTGAGTTATTGTGTACAAAAACTAACTTGAGTATTTCTAACCACGTACTGTTGGTACATAGTCGGATTGACCAATATGTTTTTTCAGAGCCAGAAATATTAGTAATCAAGAAGATCAGTAACTGATTGAAACTGATATTATTTGCAGTAAACATGAATATCTTGGTGTCAAAACAAGCGCCAACTTAAAGCTTCATTGAAGTGTCTTTATTTATTTACTTATGTTTTCTATATGTTTGTGTAAAAGACAGTTTTCAACATTTATCTGCAAGTGTTGATAGGTTTTTACTTGTAGCCAATCAGATGGTGCTGTGAGCGAAATACTGCTCAAGACCACAGATTGGTATCTAGAGATAGACAGTGCTACATCAGAGCCAAAGCATCACATTTTTAAGTAAATTTATTTTAATGATTGTTTTTTTGTTTGTTTGTTTGTTTGTTTGTTTTAAAGTTTCTGATAATCTGAAAAATGTTAAACATCTTATTCCAAAATCTGACCACCCAACTATTGGTCAACCGCTAGCATGTAGTATGGAACTTTACATTAGCTCATTTTGGATCCTGTCACTAACAAGATGGCAAGATCTGGCTTGATAATGAAATAAATACGAAAGGATCACTCTGAAGTTATGTCAATCTGTGATATAAGCTGTTCAGTAGGTTTATCTGAATGTCATTTATTTACATGACAGGAGCCCAACAACCTGAAGTCCAGGAACTCCTTCCGCTTCAATGGGTTGGTGCACAAGAAGACTGTAGGTGTGCAGCCAGCAGCCGATGGCAAAGGTGTTGTTGTGGTGCTGAAGAAGCGTAGAGGTAAATATCTGATGCTGTTTCTTTTAATTGTTTGGGTGAGAACACTGTCCAGGTCTGACTAAAAAACTTTTGAATTTAAGATTTGAAAGAGAAAGTGGCCTGAATCTGTTTAAAGGATTCTTACTGATCAGTGATATTAAGGGCAACAGCTACGTTTTTGTTGCATGCAGATGCTTTGGAGTCGATGTAATTCCACGTTCCCTCTCAGTTATTCAAAATAGAAATGTTCATGCTTCAAGTTATAGAAATTCAAATGATAGCTCTCTGTGTTCTGCGCTGATACTTGGAATCTTCTGTCTTGCACTGAACCGACACGAGACATGTGCCTGAAATAAGCACTGCGTGTAGAGAAAGTTGAAGTGCAAGTTTACATAACCCAATGCTTTTTCTGGTTGAAATTATTCATCGTTGATGAATCATACAGCCTAGTGTGGGTACCTTGACGTACTTATTTTTGTTTTCTTTTGTTACACAGGCCAGCACAAACCTGCCACCTCTTACGAGAAGATCACCATCAACAAGAACTCCCGTGCCACCCTCAACAGCCTGAGGCACATCATTCGCAAGAACAAATACAGGAAGGACCTGCGCATGGTGAGCTCAGCCTGTGTTTTTAGAAGGCAAAATGTCACATTTTAGTGAGCGTTTTTGTTTGTGTAATGGTTTAGGAGTATTCTTTGAAGTTCAGAATTTTAAGAACATATGTGTTGTGTTTCCCTAGGCTGCCCTGCGTCGTGCCAGTGCTATTCTGAAGAGCCAGAAGCCTGTTGTCGTCAAAAAGAAGCGCACCAGGGCTGCCAAGACAGCATAAACTGATCCATGATACATGAATAAAAACGTTTTGTTTGGAAAAAAACAATGCATTGTCCTGAGTCTTAACTTAACCACAGATCTTTATTACATCTGTGATTTCTAATGTGCAGGATCTCACAGGTGTCTGAAACTCTGACAACGTGTAGACTTTTCCAGATATGCCACAAGAGGGTGTAGAATTAGTACATTTTATGGTTCAGTTGAGAAGATGCTGCATACAAAGAAGAACCAAATGTTACTAATTTCCTCCTGTGCACTGGACACCCCACAACTTCATACAATTGGTTTTGTTGTCCCTAGAAATGGGTCAGTTAGTGGGCACTTAGTTTTACTGACCTACTTGTTACCCCTACAGCAGCACACCAGGCTTTAGGGGCTGTTCGGGTCAGTTTAGGTGAAATCTCAACATTTATTCAAGGAACAGAAATGCTTCAGTGCGTTTTATATTCACTCATATTTCTCCAGGTTTAATAATAGCACATAAATGAACCTGCTTCCACTTCGTCCTCTTGACCTCACTGGGCTGATGTTGCCCCAGTTATTATATTTAGCTGCAGCTAATTAAACAGTTGGAGGACGTCTAATTGATTGTCTTTGCACCCAGTTGGAACAATCCTTCATTTTTCACGATTATTTTTGGAAAATTTATCACAAACCATTGACAAAGTGATCTCCTAGTTTTGTTGTTTAAACAGTCTATTTAAAATGCATATCATTTACACTTTTAAAAAGATCCTAATGAAGCAAGCGGACGCTCTGCTGCGGTGGTCACTGATGCAGAAACATTGGATTGATTTTTCAAGCATGCCACTGGCAGCTTTCCACCCGTGGCTTTGGAAAGAAACTAATAAACTGTTGTCGCCCCTCCACTCCTCGATGACTTTAAGCTGAATGGGTATCCAGCACCAGTCGTTCCTGCAGTGAAGCACGGGATTTGGATGTACTTCTGAAAAGGTGGTTCTGTGTCTCTAAAGATGTGATAGAGGCTCCGTACGGCGGTCGCGATGAGAGGAATCAGGCTTTTCTTTTTGCCCTTGACTCTGCTGGTGCTGGAAAGTCGGAGCTTTGAACTACAGGATACGATCCACGCGCTGTTGGAGGAGAACATCCACCTCCACGACCAGCTGGAGAACCTCACCAAGGCCCTCAAGGAGCTCAGACGGATGCTGTGGCATCACTCAAATGGTACGGGTTCACTTTATCATTTATATTTACATTAAAAATACAGATATCAGTAAAAACAATGACAGGGCTTTGACATTTAATATGAAAGAAACAGCGATACCCAACTGTACTGAGCGTAATAGAGCATTCCTTGAAGGACTCTTCATATTTTCTCACACTCATCTGAACTAAATTGAAAAACAAGTACATAAATATAACTTGCTCTCAAGACTTAGAATGTATAATATTACCTAACAGCACTTTACTATGCATATTATTTCCTTTCATTTATTGCATGTGTGGTTTTGATTTGGTTGTTTCCCAGCTGGTTTTAATCACTCATGCACTTTAAGCATTCCGAGCATTGCCATGACGAAGCTTTTTAATTTTAATTCCACCATTTGAGGGCTCAATTATTTATGCGTGCTTATCGGAAATTAAATAAGGATGTGGAAAAGATATTAACAAAGCCCTTCTGTGTTTATATTACAGATCCAGATCCAGATCATCACGACCATCACGAACATTACGAACACCACGAACATCACAATGAGGATGTTCAGCATCTGTGGGATGAATGGTCACAACACGGTGTGTATCTATACAGCAAAATCCTCTCCTGATTTATATACGATTGCATATGTGTGTATATTTGTGTTGGGAGCATGTTGCTAGTTTGGACTACTTTATACACAGTTTCATTTACAGCAGATAAGTCTGAGGGCTTCTCACATTATTAGTGGGGAAAGGAAAGAAGAAAAACAAAGCTCTGATCCAGGAATCTGTTGTCAGTTACTGGACTTTTATTACAGTGAAACCATGTTAGAAGTTTACTGGACAAAGTCAATATTTGGTGGAGCTGTAAACAAATCACTGACATCTGAAATGTGACCCCTGACTAAAAGCTGCTTCCTGTAATAAACCAAAAAGGTTAGAAATGGTTTAATCTTTAACTATATGCTGTATTTTAAAAGCTTGTTATATTATCCGAGTGTGTAAAATCTTCATATTAAAAGTAGCTGAAGCTCTAAGATGAATGTAGTGGAGTGGAAGTAAACGGCAGCATAAAATGTAAATGCTCAAGAAAAGTACCTCGAACTTCTACTTAAGTACAGAACTTAAACAATCGCATGCAGCTCCTTTGCCCTGCTGTGTTTCAGTAGGTCACAGTGGTCAGGTAGTGGTGCTGTTGATCGCATCGAGCGGCCAAGCTGTGACAGAGGCCGTACCATTAATTAAAATCCATTGATTTCACACCCATGCAGGCTGCAGTATGGCTTATGGATCATGTACGCACCATGGAGACAGTGAACTGTTCTGTAAATAAACTGAGTGAGATTTCTAACAACACGTCATCAGCTGATAAAAAGCTGTTCAATCTGCCCTGGATGAGGTGATAGTGATGCAGCGTGTTTCTCCCCTGTTGGCAGGCATCAGTGAGGAAACCCATCTGCTGTTGGAACAGGCCTTTTGTGAATACAGACTGCACGGCTCTGCTGCTCCCCTGCGTCAAAAAACCACCGTCCTCCTGCTGGTGTTCCCCTGCATCACCCTGCTGCTCACGAGCTGCCTGTAGGCTACATTAGCCTGAAGTCAAAGCTCAGGTTTTCAAGCGGAGCAGCCCGGTGGGGATAAGTTCCAAGCTACGCTGTGTAAATTAATCTAATTGAACTGTGAGCGTCGGCGCTGTTGCGGGGATTAGCAGCACCCCTGGCTCTTCCTGTTAGGATGTGATTATCGAACTGACAGGATCGGATGAGCTGACCTATCAATCTGTGCTCCACAAAGCACCTCTGGGGAATTTACTGAAATGGAAAGTTGATGCTGGTGTATCATAACAGAGAAAGCTTTGTTACAGCAGGTGAAACCCAGAGACTTGTCTCATCTGTAGCAATGTTTTGTATTAATTTAATCAGGTAATTGGCTATAAATGGGATCAACCTGGAGTTAACTTTAAATTACTAAAACACAGATTGACTCAATGAAAAATGAATAAAAGTGATAAAGTTGCATTTGATCATTTTGGGATTTTTTTTTCATTATGACCTCTTATGTTGAGCAGAAGCTACAAGAGTGATAATTACCACACTATGTTTTAGTAAACATGTCGGCCTTCCAGTATTTACCAACGATAGTATTAACATAAGTCCCATATTAAATCTGCTTTGGGAAATATTTCATTCTCTAGCAGCTAAATGGTCCACTATGTGTCTGTCTGAGTAGTGTGCAGTGGCTTCATCACAACGTTTGTGCTGAAAACGTTCATCTCCCTTCGCTGCAAACGCTGCTGATGAAAGTGGAGTTGTTGCTCTCTAAAGCTGAGGGGAACTGTGGGTAATAACTCAATTCTGTGAGCATCTCTCCACATCTGATCCATCACATGTCAATATAGCAATACTGACTACTACAGCTTTAACTCAATACCTCTGATAAAAGGAAAACGCAACAAGCAGCGAGTCCAAACACTTTACAGTTTATTGTTCCCACTATTTGAAATGGTACAGCACATATAAAAGTTAGAAAATCAACTAAGAGTCAGTTGGGCTGAAGGTTTTATCTTCTCAGAGTCAACATATATAAATCAGTGGAAATGAAAGAAAACAAGGAAATGTGTCTTAACACAACAAATAAATAGTTTACAGTCACAGCTCAAACAAAACATTTCACCAAACACCTACAGCATCCTCTCTGTTTAACAACATGATGATCATAATAGCAAGTATTTACGCTAATTAAATAGAACTAATGTTTACTATGGAATGATATGAAACCCACTGGGTTACTGTGTTTGTTTTGTGTGTGCATTTACTTTTGGTTCTGCGTCGATGCTGGTTGTGTAAGTGGTTACATGGCAATCCTGGCTCAGTCTGTCATCACTACAGGGGTCCACATACATATAAATTATCTATAGTCCATGCAGACTGCGTACGCGTGATTCTCAAGCATAATGCATGTTAGATCTTATGGCTCTAGTCTATATCGAGGTCAGAGTCCTCGTCGCTCACAGTGTTCTGTATGATGGCTCCATTGCGGACCGTTTTTTGGACGATGGGGGGCTTGTCGGGCAGCAGGCCGTACTCCTGCAACAGGGCCTCCAGGTCTACGGCGAAGAAATCTTCCCCGAGCTGGTCTGTGAGCCGCACAAAGTTGCCGATCAGGTCGCCTCCTTTGTAGACGAGCAGAGCGGGCAGAGCGCTGTCTCTGAACAGTGCGCTGGTGCTGATGGCCGAGCTGCGTACGCTGCAGAACTTGACCAGCGGGTATTCCTGAGCCAGACACAGCAGGCTGCCGCTCATGGCCTCGCAACCCGGCACGTCCGGCTCGTAGATGTGGATCATGACCAGCGTGCTCTTGTCCTCTTTGTCTAAAGCCTCCAGGAAGTCCTCTCCGCTGTTGAGCTCGTAGACCTGCTCGAAGCGTTTGCCACGGCAGAGCTGGCGCCGCATCTCTTCAATTCGCTGCATGCGGTAATGCTGGAGGAAGTCTTCATCATCCTCTTCCTCCTGGAGCATGTTGTACTCCTGCATGGTCATCTGTAGAGCAGACACAGTGACAACACATTAACGGAATAGTTCAGCATTTTGGGAAATATGTCTATCAGTGGTCTTGCCAAGAGTGAGATAAGACTGAAAACATTCTTATTTCTCCGAGTTCAATATAAACCTTCAGCCAAGAGAAAGCTAAAGCTAACTTAGCTTAGCACAAAAAAATGCAAACGGGAGAAACAGCTAACCTGGTTCTGTCAGAAGATTAAAAAAAAATAAAATTAAAAACTAAACCACCAAAACATCTACAACTTATTAAATATGTTGTTTACTTATACACACTAAAGCCATGTTAATTCAACTTTGAACTTAGTGTGTCACTAGCTTTACTTATCCACAGCTCGACATAGTCAGAAAATAGAGGATGAAGGTTCAGGGATTCCACTAAATTAATTAGGTTTTAATTAACAACTCGCCTCCATTTAGTTTTTTTCTACAGCAGGAACTCTACTCTCACGTGTACTGCCAAGATGGATACGGAACAAAACTTTCAGGCTGAGGAGGCTTTTGACAAGAATTTATTTCCCATGTACACTATATTTTTAACCTCCCATCCTACTTACTTTGCCTTTGATTTTTTCCTGCAGCTCTTTCTGTTTCTCTTTGTCTTTTTCCAGGTCGAGGTCGGAGCGGCAGGTCATGGACAGCTTCTTGATCAGTCTTTCCATCTCCTTCTTCTGCTCTTGCTTCTGCTCCACCTCCAGCTGCTTGTACTTCCTCCAGTCATTGATCACACCCTTTGGTCCTGAGACAGAATAACCGCTGTTATTGTAACCATAGTAATTATACTCACATAGACGCACAGTTGAAGTGATTGTTCAATGGAAGACACCACAATGGCACTATAATTGCAATCTACAAATTACCTGTATCTTAAATACAACTATGTGTTACTAAGGTTACATTCTTGGTCATTTTGTTGATACTTAGGAAAAGCAGATATGAGAGATGAGATGCATTTGTCACTACAAATCTCCCCCTCTAGTAGTGTTAGTAATAGCACAAAGACCAAACAGTTTTATTGAGTGTTCATCTGTGATTGTGTTACCTGTGTTGACGGCACTTCCATCTGCACTGTAGTCTATGTCAGGCTCATTAACATCACCGTCCCGAATAGTCTTCCTCTCCCCATCCTCATCTTCATTGTCGCTGCCTTCATCCTCACTGCTGCTGTAGTAATACTGCAGCTTCTCCCCCAGTAGCTTGTCATCCAGAGTCGTCATGACAGCAGCTCACCTGCCGGACACAGTGAATTCAATGTGAACAAATCTAATGCATTTACTTCTTTTGTGCACAAACTGTATTTAAATAAGTACAACAACTACGGTGTTGGTAATTTGACTGATAATTTGCATGAGCATGGCAGCTCACAGTGGGGCTGAAGGAATGCACAAACACACACACACACACACAATCTGAGTTACAACTTTAGTGGGAATGGTCCTATTTTTCATCCCCTTTCCATGGATAAAAATATAAAATTCTACATTTTTTGCTGCATACTGTAGAGAACAAGTTTGTTCCTTTGTGTCTGGAAAATATGATTTGCAGGGTGCAGCATCTCTGTAGCACTACAGTGCTTCTTTTAGAGGGGCAATATTTGGATATTGCAGTTGCCAGCTGGCCATATTGCGATCTGGACGATGTTTTGAGTAACTGTTTAGCCCTAGTTCACAGAAACAGCTTTAGCACTCGCTTAATCTTTAAACAATGGTCCATCTCTTCACACTTGTACACATTAAAGTCAGGGAGAGCACATCATTTAGTGCAATATAATAATCCACCCTGACAGTCGTCCCAGCTGTCACAGGTCTGATAGAAGGGGCTTAATTCAAAAATAGGACATCTACACTATACATAGCTTATAGTAAGTGTGTCAGTTTGTCAAACTTGGGCTGAAAGGCTTTTTATGATGCACTGATCCGTGTGTAAGCCAGCCTGAGTGCACAGATGGAGAGACAAGGAGGCTCTTGACAGATCCCTCTCACTTTTGACAGTGGTTATATCACGTCTACAGCCCTTTTGTTTGATTAGGTTGTAATTTAAAGGCAATGAAAAACAATGTCTCCTCAGCTGCAACGAAATAAAGTGTTTCCAACAGTGACAGCAGCTCGGAGCGGAGGCCTGCGGCCAACACCTAACATCAACTGTCCGGGAATCTCCGCCGATGTTACAGCTACGATAGCAAGCTGTTTAGTGTCACCGTAATTTCCTCACGTCCTCGCACATTATTGAAAAGAGGATGGAGGCAATCCAATTAGCTTATTTATGTAAGTAGGACGGGGGCTGAAACAGCAGGTACCGTCGGCGGTTGGGAAAGTAAGCTAAGCTAGCTTTAGCCAACTGAGCTAGCAAGTTTTCCTATGCTGACTTCCTCTGACTACATTAGGTGGCCTTAAACCGAGGACGTTAAATTTAACTCGACTTCGACATAATACGCGGATAGAAAAAACATACAACGTCCTCTCTAGTGAAAAACTGTCGTCTTACCTTAATTGTATGACCAGTAAAATGCCACCAACAGTCGCTGTTCACTGCAGCTAAATCTGCTAGCTTAGCTGCCGCAAGCCACTCCCCCGGACTGTGATGCCTTCAGGATTCACGGACACGTCCATTTTTCAACAACTAAGTGCGAAGAAAACCTACATTTAGCTCAAAGTTACGATTAATGTTGTGTTTATCACGTAGAGTAAATGCAAATCAAATACTTGTGCAGTGCATTCTGTTTTTGCCATTTAAATTAGTATTTCAATCTAATGGACTGTACTGTAACTGTAGATTTTACTGAGGGCACTTAAAGGGAACACATCTGACATGTAAAATGTGGGAAGACGCTAGAAGTAATATTATGCAGTTCCCACTTTCACAGCTAGAGGGCAATATGACTTTGAAATATACCACTTGCGCAACAACTACTACTGCAACCAGGGCTGGCAGTACCAGATTTGCCAAGTCAAACATTTTGTTTTCATCACTACTTGTTTTCTTTTACATACTTTCACAAGAGGTGCCCTGATAACAGTCCAACAGGATATGGTTTCACCCTTCCTTAATACAAATCATGACAGAATTTAAGTCATTTGAGAAGACTAACAGCAAGCAGACATTGCCAGATCTTGCCAAAAGGTGTGTTTGGATCTTGTGTTTTTTCTAAAGATAAATAATCCCATATGTATTTAAATATACAGCAAACAACACAAGTGAGTACATCCCATGAATCAACACTGAATCACCTCTCAGTACCTGATTTATTTCTAAGTTGACAAGTACAGGGTTTTCTCGTATAAACAACCAAAAACAATTACTTGAGCAAGACTATATTGAAAACACAAGTCCCAAAGTAGAAACCAGATGCAGTAAAAGTTGAATACTTGTGATCACTGACACGCAAGTCAGAACACCTGTGATCATTGTACAAAAATTGAATATACTGGTGACTTCCAAGTAGCCCAACTACTTGAACATGGTTATAAAATGAAGTCTCTCATTTTTGGATCTTCAGATTGTGGCTATCTGAATGTTTGCATCATGACTCCACAAGGAAAGAAACTGCCTGATGTATTAAAAAAATATGATCTTGACTTTACAGTGTTTGACAAGGACATAGGAAGATCAGTGAACAACTAAAATCAGTTGCAGCAGTAATCAGCACGAATAGAATGAGCCATCATACACTAATCAGAGAGATAGAAGCCGTCATCCTGAGTTGACGTCTCGGACAGTGCGCTACTTGTACAATCTAACTCTGACAAACAAACAAGAGCTTCAGACTTGGCACAGGGGTTATCAGTGGGAATTGTAGTTTCTGTGACAGCTCCGATAGTGTGAAGGACGGTGCATAATATCAGCCTTTCTGTTTGCTGTTTGGCTCTAAACTGCAAAAGTAAACTTGGGTAACTAACACGAAAAGAAGCTTGAGTAATATTGGGAGTACATTCTTTGATCAGCTGAGACCAAGATAAATTTCCAGGGCTCAGATAGTGTCCAACACATTTGGCATGAATCTGGTCAAGGCTTCACAGTGACTGCAGTGGAAGCACAGAGGTGGAAGTGTGATGATATGGAGTTGCATGAGTGCAAAAGATGATGGGGGGGATGACAATTATAGATGGCACCATGAATGCCTGTGGATTAACCAAAATACTGGCTGACAAGGAGACTCCCAGTCTGCATGAGCTTGGCAAAAGTGGAATATTTCTCCACTGTAATGATCCAAAACACACTGCCAGGATCACAGAAGAGTTCTGAAAAAAAGAAAAAGTGCTAACTGTGCCCTGGCCAAGTATATTACCAGACTTGAATACAATAGAACAAGATGGAGCAACACGACCCCTTCTGCCTCCAAGGCGTGCTGACTTTAGTTACACAGAGTTTCTACTGCGAGGCCTGTATTTTAATATAGCAAATCCTAAGTGCTCGTTTTCAGTTTTACATGCAAGCAAATACTTTACTATGCAGCTTAAAAGTAATGCAATTACTGCAGAGTGATACTATTCTGAATCATTTGAAATTACGGTGATGATGCATAGGATTGGACTCACTCCTGTTGTAAACTTTATATCCTGCGCATCCTGTTTATTGGGAAAACGTGGGCTACGGTATTGGCCGAGTCGCAAGCCAAAAGAAACAAGATTTACAAGAAACAGTGGGTGAGACATGGAAGCGGGAATGGACACTCGTGAGAGGTACAGAACAATGGACAATAAAAAAAAAAAAGATTTAAGTTGTTGCCAATTTAAATGAAGGGACTATAATCAACTTGGTGTCTATAGTTTTATTTTCTGTGCATGCTTATACTGCATTGCAATAAACTTCAAAATAAATCTACAGACAGTACAGACCTTTATTACCAGACAGTGTGAACATGTATTGTTACAGTATTTCAGTCAAAGCATTTAACAATAAGTCATATGTTTATGTCGTCACTGATGCGTTTGTTCAAGTGTGAGAATGGAAGTGAGCGAGTTAAGGAAAAGGCAGGTTTGCTTTCATACCGAGTCCTGCGTGACTCTCCAGTGCTGTTCAAACAAGCAGTTCTCCACACAAACACCTTTAACACTTGTTTGTTTCATAGCAACCACCTCTTTTACCTTCATATTCAACACATAACCTTCAGGGTCATAGCTCATCAGTCCGTACATTGCTGCCGTGTTTCTCTTGTTGGGATTTCTCCTCTGCTGGAACTCTGAAAGCCACATAAGGACACGTCCTGGTGTTCAGACAGACCAGCTTCTTGAGTGTGGCAGAGTTTACTATGTCAAAGCCGACTTTGCCTCCGAAGGTGCTGGGCTTCCAGTAATCTGGAGAGCATATAGGGTTTCCCAGGAGGCCTTTGAGGGAGAAGGGGGCGCCCATCTCCACCATGCTTTCTCCGAATATGGACCCCGGTCGGGTTTTCTCCAACATCAAGCCGGGATAAAACTCGAGAGCGTCAATGTCGCCGTAGAACTCTTCAAGCGCTTGGACTATCTCTTCATTATCTGCAAAAGATAACATCCAAAAACGTATTGCACAATTTAAAAGTTTATCAGTAATACAGAGCGATGAGGATTGCATCAGAAGCCACACTAGCAGCACGGATCGAGGGATGATGATACGACACTCAGGTCTCGTTAATCCCTGGAACTTAAGTAAAAAGCAAGTGGACTTTTCTTTTAGGTTCTACAGGAATATATACATCTGAGACTCCAAATCCGTCAGTTAGAACTGAAGAAGCCTCTTAGATGAAAAGTGAAACACCTTCAAAAACCTAAAAGAGAAGTCCAGTAGTTTTTCACTGAAGCCCCGAGGACAGGGATGGGATTGTTGGCAGGTCAGTGCACCACTTTGGTCCGGACTGAAACTTAGTTGTCTGACAGATTACCATGAAATTTTGTACAGGACTATTTTAAGAAGTGCAGGACAGTGCTGTGAAATTTAGCAACCAGATGATGAAGTCATATCACTACTCCAGAGTTTTCCTAATGTACCACCAGCAAGTTAAGGCTTTTGATTCATCAAAAGGAAATCTCTCAACATATACTGCATGTTTAATAATATTTTATACAAACATTCATGGTTACCAGGTTGGAACTCTGCAGTGGTTTTGCATTTAATGGAGGTGAAATATTGGTTCTGTCCTTTACAGGCATTCGATGTCTAAAAAAATCTTATGAGAGGCTTTTGTATTTCTCCAAAGTTCTATTTCTCTAAGAACTTAACGAAAACTATGTGACATTAGTTTTTGTTTTTTAAATGATGACTTTCTATGAGATTCTAATAACATGATGTCATGAAGCTGGAATTTATGTTTTTTCGCCAAATATGCACATAAATCGACTGCATGTGGGTGTGACTCCTTTTCATGGGATTAGATTTGGAGGCCAGGTGGCTTTGCAGTGATGCATGAAAAGGGTTGGGAATTCTCAGGAAATTCCTGAGACATCAGAGACTGATGAATGGATACGGCCAAAATGTTTGTTTTCAGGTTTTCTTGCACACTTCTGTGTCTTAAACTTTGTAATCTGATGTCATCCGCTGTCGTGTATCCCAGACAATGAATCCTAATCGTTTGAAACTCCTGACTTTTCCATTAAATTTCGTACAGACAACCATATTCCCCTGAGGATGGATTACACTAACTTCCCAGTCCCCTGACTTTCAATTATTTCCGTCACCAGATCAACTTGTGCAATACTTTGGTTTATGACAAATGATCTGCAAAGCAAATGATATTCCCGTCAGCCTCAGCTGTTTTGTATTTAGTGCTCATTAGCAAAGGCTGATGCACTAAACTAAGCTGGTGAACACGGTACGCATCACGTCTGCAAAACATCAGCGTGTCAGCTTTGTCAAAGTCTATCAGCATTTAGCTTCATGTATATTAGCACAGTCTCACGTAGCAATAATCTAAGCATCCTTCACAGGATAGCAAAGAAAAATAATGCAGTTGCACCTACAAGCAGAGGAGAATTGTCTTTAAAATGCCTGCAAAGGGAGCAGATGTCATTTATTCCAAGAATGTGAGCTCAGCTGTTCTCATAGACATGTAAAAGCTGTAAATCACATTCTTTGAAGGCTGCACTGCGTGTTGTGTGGGCTGCACACAGAACAGTTTGTCTTACCACTGAATTGTCTGAATGATGTGTACGGCTTAAGATTGAAGCGTTTCCTGTACTCGTTGAAAGGCTGCATTCGGAGTTGGCGGGACTCCTTTATCGTCCCCACAGCTACTTTGGTCACCACAGCATTGATGTTGTAGCCTCCACCAATCTGGAGGACGAAGATTTGAGAATTAAAGAAATGATTTACAGTCTGTGAGGTGTCTAGTTTACATAGACTGATTTATGCAAACAAACAAACAAACACCCAAATGTCTGCTTTCACACATGCACTTCATGTTTGACATGTCGCACTCTGTCATTCTTAGATAGCATATCTTTATACGTGCAGCATGACACTCACCCTTCACACACAAACTAAACCAGTATATTATTGTTATTTTGTGTAGCACACATTGTTTTTTTTCCTGGTTACATCATGTACACTCAATAAAGTAATTCAAGAGACCCACCACAAGTGCAAATGCGTGGTAGCAAGAAATTCTAATTTACTGATTTAAATCAACCTTGTAAATTGCAATTATTATTTTGACGAGTTGTGTTGACATCGCGATGTTGTAAATTGCATCAGCTTAATATTCCGCGTAATATAAACTAAAATTTCTAAGTAAATCCAAGTTAAAGTAACAATGAAATTTGCTGAACAACTTACTTGAGTTCAGGATTTCAAGTCCCCTCCCCTATTTCATAAACATACCTGGACTCTTTAAAGAAGTTAAGCTTGCATGTTAAAGGGCCTGTAGGCTGAATAAACATGATACAAAAGACATCTCAAGATAATCTTGACAGAGTTTGGGCTACACTTGCTAAAAAAGTTAATGTAATATTTTGTTAAAATAAGATGGAAATCGTAGCCAGAGCCAATTAATTTGTATGAGTGATCAACCTAAAAACTTATGTGTTTATGCTACCATTGTTTAAGTAGCTAGTAACTAAAAATACCTTTGATCTATGAGGAAAAGAGTATTTCTTTAACTCAGTCTAGTTTATTGGTTGAACATAATTTCATTAGTGTAACCTGAATGGTACTGCTAGCTGATGAGTAAAATCACATTTTTAATGCAGGTCTACCGTGTAACATTTGTTGTTGAATTATCTGCTGAAGTGTTTATGTTCACATGTGATTGTAGCTGAGCTTCTGCATGAGCTGGTCAGTTTAATGAAACAGATTCTGTTTGATGCATACATGCCGATGCATACGTTTTAATATGTTTCAGGAAAAGGAGCAAAAAAACTACTGAATATTATAGTATTCTGTTTCTGTTGAGAATATTAAAGAAGTATTTTTGTTGCCAAGACAGTTATGGGTTATGGCATCGTGTTGCCTCTTTATAAAAGGCTTGGGTTGGGTTCATGACTATACCATTACTCACAAGCTTCAGGTCAGTGCAAAAACACTGTCAACAAGGTTGGGAAACATAATTATGCTCATCACTGCCTGGGCGCTAAAGTTATTTGAAATTGGCATTGCTTCAGGTTTAAACAGTTACTACATAACTGTAACTACTGTACACGGAAAAACTGTAAACTTATTATGCGCCATAATTACACAGTGTCTGTGGTTTGTTACCTGCCCAGCAGGTTGTCGAGAAAAGGCATCCACCAGCTTCTCCACGCCGTAATATGTGAGAACAGACGTGTTGAAGAGAAACTGTGTGTACAACAGCTCATCTCCGTTTATTAAGAAGCTGTCGGGCATCAGAGGGTGCCAGTGGTAGAGCTGGCTGAACTCCAGGGCGATACGATTCCCGTACTGGAAGTTGGAATTAAACAGCAGGGTGGGATCAAACTTCAGCTGCAGCAGGTATCCACTGAGTTGCTGCACATACTCCTCTATCACTATTCGTATTGTCTCACCTGAGAAGAACATGCAAGGACACAAAAGCGGAGGGCAGACAGATTAAATTTAAACCCAGCGATTGTACACTGAGTCACGACTGAACATGTTCAACCTCGAGCTGACACCAGCAGAATGAAGAGGTGTTAACATACGCTGCAATTAAATAAATGCCCTCAAGTGCATGAAACAGAAAAAAAGAACCACTTTTGAAAAAGCAATAAACAAACAGTTCTTTTTTGGGCGTTCGATGAAAAATTCAAAGAAATCATTAGATGTGAAGCCGCAGCCAGATAGCTTAGCTTAGCATAAAGGACCGGTTCTGTCTGAAAGCAACAGAACGTGGCTGCCAACTCTCATTTCTTTACCATTAGGTTTTCCAGCACATAAACTTCCATTAAACCCAATAAAACTGTAATCTTAAAATGTAAACAAATGTGTAACATCCTCAATGGTTAATTAGCATGGGATGTCCAATTTAAGCGTAATCTGTACAACCCCCCGCCCCCAAACTGAACCAAGTCCAGTAAAGTCTCTGTAGGTCGCCTGGACAATAGCGCACCACATAAAACTGCAAAATGTCTTTTTTTTCCCCACAATGTTTTTTGTATGATTTAATCTAACACAATGTGAAGTATTCATTACTGAGATTCTGAGAGGTTGGCAGCCGATCTTGTTGTTACAAGAAGGGTAGAGCTGACAGAGCACTTACTACACATGCTGAAAGGTGATAAGGAGATCAGCTTGTTGATCAAAAGGTAGCAGTGTCCTGTAGGATAACTTGCTTTATCATCTGTTTTCCTCTAAATGGGACCATAATCTACAAAGTAAGCACCGTGCTGTACTGAAGGAGATGTGAAACTATCAACTGAGACCATGAACTTATTAGAAAAAATGTTTGGTAACATAACAAATTTAGTGAGAAGTTAAGGGATTTTCTCATAGACTTCTGAGCAAGCAGACATCTTTTTCTAACCCTTAGAGTCGCCCCCTGCTGGCTGTTAGAAAAAAATACAGGTTTAAGAGTCTTCTGCATTGACTTCACTTTTCAGACCATGTCCACCTTTCATAAACAGTTTATCTCTTCATGATAAGCTAACCTGACACTGATGGTGCTTTTATTTAGCACCATAAAATGCAAGACAGCTGTCAATCAAACATATCGACCAAAATATTCCTTTTAAACTGCTCACCGATGATGATGAGCCGAGTGGTCTGGAAAAGCTGCTCATCGTCCCAGGTGGGATGCTCTGCTTTCAGGATGTCACAGACTCGGTTATGCTCCCTCAGCCACAGGGTGGCATACAGGCCCAAGCCAGGGAGAAGTCCAAACACTTCCTGACCGATGGCCATCTGCTGCTCCACAGGGACCCCAGGAGGGTAGCTCATCTTAACGGACGCTTCAGCTACAGAGGGAGGGTACATCTCTCCATCAATTAACTGACGGGTAAAGATAAGAATTAATGTTGATGCAGTACAACTCACTTCAAAATGTGCTTTTCATGATCTTTTTCTAACAGTATGCTATATATATCAGTTTAAAAAGCATCTTCAGCACATTTACATCTGTAACAGTTTGCAGCTGCTGCTCTGGGTGAACAATCTTGGCAGAAAAAGATAACATATCACCAGCACAAGAAACATTTTTGGCTGACATGCTCGTTTGATTGACGACAGTGTCATCATACTGCCTTCTCTCTGCTCATTTATTGGAAACGAAAACCAGTCACAATAAATTAGCACCTAAAGACGACTGCAGGTTTGCTTTTTGTGCCAATCTGGATCAACATGTTGAGACAAGACTTTTTTAAGACTCCTATTCATGGTTTCAACTCATTTACCTGATATTTAAGCTTTCCGTCTTTGTGAAGCCTGAGCTTGAGCTGGCGTTCCAGGTTGTCTCCATAAATGTGCCCTGCGTCCACCTGTGTAAAGGATCAGACAGAAAAATGGAATGAGAAAAAACACCCAACAGACATTATGATTTGCATTGTGCAAAGCGCTCACCAGCTTCTGAGGTTCTGTCCAAATAAAAATAACCAAATCTACCTACAAGCACCTCTAAAGCTGAATAATTATTAACACGTTGCTTCTTGTTTTGTTAAAACACGCAAAAGCCAAACTCTAAAATGCTAAATGATCTTTTTATAGGCGTCATTCAAGTCATGCAGTTTCTATTGTAATGCATTTTTTAAACTAAATTTATTTTGCCACTTATGTTATTTTATGTTTGCATGTACTTACAACAGTATAAAACTTATCATCTCTTCTTTCTTTTCCTTGGAAAGCTCTTACTATGTTAATGCACTACACAGCAAAGTTTCTCATTGTTTTGCTGGACTAACCCCATGTGCCAGTGCCTTGGTGTAGCCCAGACCCATGCGATTGAAGGTCTTAAAGAACTGGTGGGTGAAGTGTTGTGCGAAGAAGGCGAACATGAGGTTGGAGCGCTGGGGGTCGGCTCTGAACGTCCTTCTCTTCAGAAGCCTGTCAACCAGCAGCTCAGGGTCAGGCAGCTCAGACTTGCCTGAAAAGAAAAAAAAACCACAGCGTCACACAACACGAGGGAAAACACGGATACACCAGTCATAACACTGAAGTTGTGTGACGGTGAAAACAGTCTGATTCAGTTAACACAGTGGCACAGTGCTGCTGAACAATCCAAGGTCTGTGTGTGGTGGAAGGTTTAGTTTCATCTGAAACAACACCGATCAAAGGATGTGTTCTGGGTTAGATATTGAGGTTATCTGCTAGTGGAGCGTAGCAAGTACATTTATTCAAATAGAATTTAAAGGCACTTTAGAGTTTTTTTGAATGCATTTCAGAGGAAAAGATCTTTCAGAATGTGTAAATAAGATTAAAGAGGGAACTCATACACTGTTCTCGACAACACCGTCTAGGTAAATGTGTTGTTATTTACATTTATGATTTAATAAAATAAGATCATCCCCAACATATGTTACATAATGGTTTTATCTAATGTTCATTCCAGCATTGAACTCTTCACAGAATTACTATTAATGATTAAAGATGGATAGCATTTAAATACTAATACCAAAACAATATTTATATTAATACCTTCTTTGAAAAATACTGACATGCTCTGTTACAAAATCTTTTTTTTACTTGACAGAGGAAACCAAAGTTCCTGATTAGTTAACAAAGTCAGTCAAGCAAGTCTGTTTGCATGAATACATTCTGATTCATCTGTAATCTAAATTTGTATTTAAATCAGGAACTATCTGACATTTGATGCCTACCTGTTTGCATAAGTTTAAATGTTTAATAGTGCTATTGGCATGTTTCATTTGTAACCCAAGAAGTATATTATATATATAAAAGTATATATATATACTATGTGCAATCATGAATTTTAGTTGCTTGGGGGCAGCTGGATGAGTTGTTTGGTCAATATTTACACATTTAGTGGATGCAGAGCAGAATTAGAATTTTTAGAAGTCATGTTTCTGTCCGTGATCTTGCAGTGTGGAGTTTGCATGTTCTCCCTGTGCAGCGTGGGTTCTATCCGGGTTCTCCGGCTTCCTCCCGGTTAATTGGTGATTCTAAATTGTACATAGGTGTGAATATGAGTGTGCTTGGTTGTCTGTCTCTGTGTGTAGCCCTGCGATAAACTGCCGACTTGTCCTATTCTATCCCAGCGAGGAATCCTGGGAAAAGCTGGGAACCCTGAGGAGCTGGAGCCTCTCACAGCTGACTCAGGGTTCTTCCTGAGTTAATAGGCTCAAGATGGATGGATGTAATTCCAGTATTCACTTTCTTTATTTCCCACCTAAGGTAAATATGTGGCTCCTTAAACCTAACCTTTGACCCCCACAGGTGAGGGGCAGTCCTCGGGCACTGGGGGCAGAATCCGAGTGTAGTAGCTCAGATTGTAGTAGGATTCCCAGCTGAGGTAGCCATACTTTGAGTTGAAGGTTGGAGGGGTGGGTATTAGGTTCGATCTCACTGTTGATGCAAAAAAAAAAAAAAGAATTATTAGACATATTGAACATGTGACAGAATCTGTTTTTAGAGCGAGCTGCTGAATCTGGACCTGTTAAAACCAGTCGCATGAGGATGTCCCGTAGGAAAGTGGAGTTGATGATGTCCCACAGCCAGTGGAAATGGGTGAGGATGTAATGCACCGTATCTGGGCCAGGTTTGAGGAACTGACGCACTCTGGTCCAAAACTCGGCTGCCGGTGGAAGACACAAGAAAAAGAAAAATGCTGTTACTGGAAGTCAGGGCCTCTGGGTATTTAGAGTGGAAATTCACCCAACATAACAAAATCATTATGTCATAGTCCAACAGAACTCTTGGCAAGCTGGATCTTGTTTTCGCAGCCCGGTTCCAGACCTTTCAGTTGCCACCCACATCTCTGGACTCACTGATCTATTGAATTAAGTGAAACGGAATGGCAGCTTCTAATTATCTCATTTTTAGGCTAAGCACCCTGCTGCAAAGCTGGACCAGGGCCCCGAATCTCCAGGGGCCCCAAAACCCCCAATGTGACTGTCCATCAGCCGGTTTGTGTTAATTAAATCAAACAAATTTGAGATAACACAACTTTAAACCACAGATTTAACATATTACAGGTCAGATCCTCCCCCTACCTCTGCTGTAGGATAATAGTTTCATAGTTTTTTACATTTTGTGCTTATATGTTGCATTCATTCATTAAATTTCTACATGATCAAACTGATTCTACACAGCAAAGCCAGGTCCAGATTTTATTACAGCACAGAAACTGCAAAAACAGAAGAACAAGGAGTTTAATAAGGGCCCAGCAGCTAATTTCTACAAAGTGAACCAGCAGCACATTAATCCACATCTGAAAGGAATCACATTCAACAACAGCTGCAGTGAGAAGTCAACTACTTGATTGGTTAATGAAAAGAAAATGAATTTGCAATCATCTGATGATTAAATAATGATTTAAGTAATTAAGCAACTATATGAGGATTCTTTTTTAAAAGCAAAAATCTTAAATCATCATAATCGACTACAGGACATTATAAATGTGATTTTTCACTATTTTCTGATATTCTACAGACAATATGTTTGGTCAGTTAATTAAACAGATAACCTGCAGATTAACTGTTGCACATAGTAAGCATTAAGTATGTTGATTCATATTGGTATTGATGCAGTATATTTAGATACTTGTAAGGAAACAAAAATAGAAAACTATCCCAGGTTCAACCTGGCAGCTTGGTGTCAGCCTGTTATAAGCCTTGTTGGATATGATATTCATCAATTTGTATTCTTAATTATTTTTCTCTTCACATCTGCAGTAAATCCATTAAAGATGTGCTACTATGGCTCTGATGCAATCCCCTCCTCATCTCAACCAAAGTCCCGCCCACAGCGCGATCTGATTGGTCACAACCTATCAGTACTGATGGATAAATCTGAAAATATTATCTTTAAATTACACTTGACCGGTCATTTTCAATTAAGTTCTGTGTTAGAGTTTGTGTTATTCCAAACTGTGACATCAAGATTTTCATTCTTATGGTAGTCCTGCATCACTTCCAAATATCGGTTATTGATCTACTTGATTGCTAATAATTTGCCCTGAAAACAAAAACAAAAAAACATATTGTTTCATCACTAGCTCAGGGTATAAACATCTGCTTTTTCCTCAATCTATCTTAAGAATTAACATTTTCAAGCAAGCTGTTTTTCATGTTTGAGGTCATTCTGCTGGTTCAGGCTCCATGTCTAGTGTTCAGATCTGACAGTGGTATTGATCTTTGCATTTAACTCAACAAAAAAAAAAAGAAAAACACATTTCCCAAAATGTGAATCTATTCCTTTAACATCACTACATTCCTGGCCCGAAGCTCCATTAGGTTGTTTTACAGTTGATTCTGGATGTACATGTGTTTTCCTATTCCACCGTAGGTAAGAAGTGATAATATTATTCTATATGTACATTATCACTCACTACCATTTCCCCTTTTCCTGTTTGACTTTGCTTGCCTTTCCCTCCCATTCCGTCTCACTTTTTGTCCTCCCACACAATCAAAGCACCGTTAAATGACATTACACATAAGGCAACTGTCGGCCAAACTCATCCATCTGAGAAATAAAACTGTTTTAGGGTTCTTTTGTTACAGAGAAGAGCAGCAGAGCTTGTAGGTGGTTCTGTTGGAGCAATCAGCAGAGGTGGCTTTGATCCAGCTGCTGCTTCCGTTCCTCCAAATTTGCCAAATATTTGGGTCTAGACAAGAACTTTTAACTCAGTGATCCAGGAGCTATGTTGCACTATTTCCTGATTTAACAACAAAAACATGAACAAAAGAATATTACAAAATTCCTCAAAAGTGCAATAATAACAGAGGATATGAGAGGAGGGGGTCTCATAATGTTAAGTGGACTCACGGACTGTGCAGTTTTCACCGTAGAAGCCGGTGCGAGTGCAGTCACACTCATACTTGTCGTCACTGTAGCGAACACACACACCCCAGTGCTGACAGGGGAAATAACAGCAGGGGTTCACTGCAGAAAACAAGAGGGGAAAGTCATGCCAAAGTCACGCTTATATAAGACAGGAAAGCAGATCATATATGAAGATGTGACATGGAACGGAGATCAAATATTGACTTGGCCCTGTTTCAGTATGACCGCAGCTTTGAAATTCGTTTCCCACAAAGAAACATCTGCCTCAGTGCACATTTGGACCAATGCCTCTGAATTTCTAAGCTGCAAATAATATGTCTTTTAGCCAGATATGAAGTCTCAGTTTGAGCTCAGAGGACTTGCTTTTATTAAAAATACATCTGTTAACAAGGCCAGAGGATCCCATTTTAATTCTGGCTCTCAGTACAATTCCTGTTTTTCAGGATTTTTGTCGAAACTTTTGTCAGTGTTGTGAAAAAAGAACATCTAAAAAACTCTTAAAGCAAGTTTTTTTATGCTGACGTCAGACTAAATTGTCTCAGTCAATTGCTGTTTTAGTTCAAACTTCATTTCACAAGGCCAAATTACTGGATATCCTTTCATAATCATTTTTGCCAAACTGTTGTGGGAAAAATAAACTTTTTTAGGAAAACATTATTCTAGCCTGGACTGGCCTTTGTTTTTTTTGCAATTAGTTTTGAGTTCAGAGCTGTTCATTTCCAGATGATTACTTTCAAATCCTCAAATTATACCAAGAAGAATACTTTTCACTATTTGCTATTTTTCGCAAATATTCCATTATACATTTATGCTAAATATAATTTTTGCAAAATTCAGTTTGAGTAGTTGCCAAATTACATTCCTTGGAAATCAATAGAAAATAACTAGGAATATATGGACCCCATATACATACAAGAATAAAGATTTTGATTTGCTTTAAAGCCAATGTATGACACTTTGGGAAATTCCTTTATTCATGTTTTGGTAGACGGTGAGATAACTGAGATAAAACTCATCCATGACTTCTAAGGCCTAGTTTTAAAAAAAACAACTGAATATATATATATGATGGTGTCATTCATTTTTAAGCTTTCTAGCAACCATTTTATTTCACTAACTAGCTTGCAGCTTACTGTGAAGACGTCACCCAACTCCACATCACTGCAGTCTGCTCAGCTGTGACACGTACTCTGCTACATGTGCTGCAGACAGTATTGTGAGTTTTGTAGAGAAAAAAATTTGAGTGCGCTATGTTGGACAAACACTGATGACACCATTTCTATATCTTCTACATTATGTTTTGTACAAAAAAAAGTTTTCGTCCAGGTGCATATCGGACACCTTAGATGCCGATACTGATATCAGAAAATATTATTGACCAACCAATTTATCAGTCGACTGGTTTGAAGCACCAAGTTATTTCTTGGTCGGTCACAATAACAATCTGTTATTTTTCCATACTTAAAACAGCACCTAGATTTTTACACTTATGCAGCATAAATGTGAATTTAACCCCTGAAATATAATGTGTTTATTCAGGAACTTTAGAAGATCAGGCAGGTAGACTCTGTTACTTTTGTGCACATGCAGGCTAAGTGTTTCCGGTCTTTATGCTAAGCTAAGCTAGCATCTGCTCACTATAGTGTTCATGAATATATAAGAGAGTGTTATCAGCAAACTCTGCACGAGAAGGCAAATCGTATGCTGCCTAAATAGATTCAATTTGATGAGAAGGTTTTATGAATCTTTACAAGTTAAACAAATCAGTGTGGGAAAAAACAGCCACATGAAAAGGCCTTTGTTCTTGCACACTCAGAAACACGGGAGGGAGAGTGGAGGGGGTTGGTCAGATGCACTGACAGACACAACCAACGAGTTCATACATGCTTGGCTCAGGATAAGAAAACAAATCCTACAGATAAGGCAGTCCTGGGCATTCCTTTACCCCAAGATTATAATATTATAGATCACAAATATGCACATTATCTGAATTGTGTGCTTAAATGATTAAACATCCAAACTCTTTGCACGAACAGCACTGCAGTAAAGAACTTGTATACACTTCCCTCCTCATGCAGAGACATGCCTCCATCGCTCTGCAGCACACTCCACAGATCAGCAACCTCATCTGACAGCTATGTAAACTATACGGACGCAGCCTGATTTCACAGGTCGAAAGAAGTTCAAATGGCACACGTGTTGACTTTACATAAGACTACTCCACAGCACTCCAGACTGAAATTCGGAAATTAATCACTGGGACCGAGTCTGGGGAGAAAGTTTTCGTCCAGCCCCAGTAAGTCTTCCTCTGTGGGGAATGATGCAACATTTCATTCCAGAAGTAATAGGAGCTGGCAGCACATAAAGGCTGAAGTGAGATGGACAAAGTGAAGTGAAGGAGAAATGTGTGAGAGCTGATAGCATTCGCCTCAGGGCAGGATGGTATATTGTGTATATAGGAGGTGTGAGGGGGCCATACAGGTCAGGCAGGAAAAGTCTGCTCGGGGGGTTTGCTGCTAGAAATACAAATATTTCAGTGCTGAGGGCTGAAATCCTATCTTCAAGGAATCTACAAGATAAAAGTCTCAGACATTTGAGCTAATTTGGAAAATTGCGAAACAAGTTGATATGCATGAGGAAGATCTGACATTAGGTTTCCTTGTTTGCTCTCAGTTTTAGAAGAAAAATAAGACATGAGGCATCATCCTGTGTAAATTGTATTTTTTGCAGCACTTCCTCCAGCTAATGATGTCATGTTATTACACTAGGAGGTGGCCCAGGGCCTGTCTTTGTTATCAGGGTAACAGGAATGTGTACCAGCCTGATGGCGGATTAACCTCCCCGTGTCCAGAGGAAGACCTGATAAAACCACAGGGATAATGAAAACACACGCATGCACGCACTTTGATTCAAACCCTACATGTGTTTCCTGCATCAGCAATGTAACAGGTAATTATCAGACGGTGAGCTTCAGACTCGCTGACCTCTAACCTACCTGTGCTGGAGGTAACCTCGTCACCCCGGCACGCTGGCTCCCGCAGCAGCAAGAGGAGAGCACAAACAGATCCTAGGACAGAGGCTTCAGGAAAAGTTGCAAATCAATTGGTGTCTAACAGCAGACAGATCAAACACTTGGCGATCACACAAGTAGCAAGCTGCCCCAGTCTGTGCCCCCTTTCTCTGTGCTGATACAAGAGAGGCACAAACTGGGGCCACAGTCAGACGTACCTCTCATTACAGCAGCCTCAGTTCAGGAGAATTTCATTCCAACTCGTAAAACAATAGAGAAAAGTGCAGCAATCCAGACTTTTGCGGGGAGATGCGGAGCTGTGATGAGGAGATCCAGCTGCAGACAGACGAGACAGTGACAGAGCAGCAGGAGCAGCTGTCCAACAGGTTACCTCCAGTCTCTGAGTGCTGCAGCTCCGCCGCACTGCGCCTTTACCTACGATCAGAGGGGGAAAGTGGGACGGTGACTTCAGCCCAGTGCAGGTTTCCAGTTCTTTATCGCCTCCTGCTGGTGCTCTCTGCTGCTGAAGGCTGTATGCTTTAACAATCCTGCCTGTCTTTACATGTCCGGTATTAAATCAGAGTCCAAACAACAAGTCATGTTTTTCCATGTCTTTTTATCACTCTTTAGTCTTTTGTTCTGTGCATATTACAAAATACTGTTCCGCTTCCGGAGGCTGCTTCATGGGAAGGAGCCTCCAACCTTCATCTCTTTACTATTGGCTTATTTTCTCACACCATAATACTACTATAAATAAGATCGTAAACATTACCTGGCAGAAGCAAAACATGATCCCCATGTTCTTCATGAACTACGATTTATGAGTTTGCTTCTAACAAAATGACTAAAATGCCTGAAAAAAAAAGGCACGATGGAGGACTTTACGAGTATTCATTGTGATTCTCTAGCATTATATGTCAAGTTTTAAAAGGCAATGAAAGATGATCAAGTTGACTTGAATTATATTTGAACATTGTTTTGCACTAATGTTTGCAAAATGTGCATTTATCAGCCTCTGTGGTGTCTTGCAAGTTCAATTCAGTTGTAATAATTACATCTTAACATACACCAGTAGGAGCCTGTAGCCATGCTGGTGAATCAGTCAGGCTGTAGATGTGCTGCTTCAAGCTACATGCTAATGTCAAAACAGTCATTTGTTTTTGAAAAATTGTATTTATATACTTAACAACAGCAGTAAGGTTTTTTTTTAATTAAAAAAAAAACAAAAAAAAAAAACTAAATTAAGTACTTTATAAATGTTATATGTCTGTTGTTTCTGACTACAGCCTAGTTTACACACTGATGTGAAGGACGTGTGACCTCTGACTGTGCAGTTTTTAGGGAAGTTTAGTAGTAGTGATGCTGCACTCTGCAACCCTAATGCCTTTTCTACATGTGCACAGGTATTTTTTAAATTTACCTTTTTCTATGTGCCCTCTGCCCACATCCACATGCAGTTTAATGGCCCTAAAACTGACCTTTTTTTTGGGTAAACTGTCTCTGGGGTGAAGACATTCATAAACCACACTCACTCAGAGTCTCCACACTAATACTAAAGAAGTGTGCTACCACTAAGTGCTTTAGGGCTCAGGACTGTTCCTTTGTCAAACTGCCAAGTGCATGAAGGCCCTGATGTGGGCTATTCAGTGCTACAATGCCCCCTATCTGACTTTGCAGAGGGACATACCCTGGTGACGTATAAACACTTGTCCTGCCTTCCAAACAGAATGCCTGGAAGAAATCTGCTCTCAGTTGTGGTTATTTATTGCATATTTGTAGAGCTGTTTGCATTTTCAGTCAAATGTCTGCACAGGATTTGCAGATTTTTCCTGACTTTCGGTGCTTTGCTAGGATGTGGAACAGAGCAGGTAGCAGGTTTCCAAGCACACTGTACTGTCGCAACAGTGTGTCCCGCTCCTCCTTATTGCACCAATACAGTCTCACACACTGAAGCACTAGAGCTGAGACGTCAGTCCGTGAGGGTTTAGTGTTTAGGCTGGGTTCGAGCCAGGGAATGGAGTTTTTGCTTGTGATGTCACAGTTTACACAGTTTACATGAGGTGATGTTGTGCACTGGTGGCCGAACTAGTGCTGGTGCAAACCTTTCTAGCGCTAATGTTTTAGAGTCACTGAGGCAACAGGATCAGTCCATACGTATGATTCCTCTCTTCATTCATGCACCAGTTTTAGTAAACTACCAAAACTCGTAACACGGTTTGATCACTGCCTGTTAATTTGACAGGCTTTTGGCAACACTTCACTTGTTTCTTTCGTGTTTTTACTTTTTTCATGTGAACATCAGAGGAACAACCTGTAGGCCCAGGTAGAAGCTAGTACAGTCGCATTAGATGGAACTAATTAAACCGGTGTTTCCGGAATACACTTTTAGCTTTAATTTACAGCAAAGCACATCCCAGTTGTTAGGAGTTGGTATACAGTGGTTAGCACTGCTGCTTCACTGCTAGTGGGTTCGAATCTGGGCCTGGGGTCTTTATACGTGGAGTTTGTATGGGCAGCGTGGGTTCTCCAGCTTCGTCGCACAATCCAAAGACATCCATCCATCCATTATCTATACACCGCTTAATCCTCACTAGGGTTGCAAGGTGGCTGGAGTCTATCCCAGCTGACTCAGGGTGAAGGCAGGGGACACCCTGGACAGGTCACCAGTCTATCACAGGGCTACACTTAGAGACAGACAACCAAGCACACTCACATTCACACCTACGGACAATTTAGAATCACCAATTAACCTCAACATGTTTTTGGATTGTGTGAGAGGAAGCTGGAGAACCCGGAGAGAACCCACGCTGCACGGGGAGAACATGCAAACTCCACGCAGAAAGATCCCGGGTGTCCTCACCGGGATGCGAACCGGCAACCTTCTTGCTGCGAGGCAACAACGCTAACCACCGATCCACCTTGCAGCCCCATCTAAAAACCTGTTGAGGTTAATTGGTGATTTTAAACTGTCTGTAGGTGTGAATGTGAGTGTGCTTGGTTGTCTGTCACTATGTGTGGTCCTGTGACAGACTGGCATGTGTCCAGGATGTATCTTGCCTTCGAGTCACCTGAGATGGGCTCCAGCACCCTGATCCTGGTGAGGATTGACTGGTGTATAGATAATAGATGGATGGATCTCAGTTATTGCATTTTATTTAGTTTAACAGCTCATAAGTAATTGTGCATTATTTATTTAGTTACATAATTCTTGTCAGATGTTCTATTTACATTTCACTCTTTTGTGCACATGTACAACTGTCAACACTGCTAACAGGGAGTCATACATGACTCTTTAACCTTTAACATAAAACAACATGCATGTGTGCAAATATGTGATAACTGCAGAACATGTCTTTTTCATTTTAATCTATAATGTTTCTATGAAAGCAACGCCCATAGCAACCTCATCAACAAAGCAGGAAAAAAGAGAGATAAGCTGCAGGTTTAACGTCAAACCTGTGCAACAGCAACGCATCACTTCCACAGAGGCGGAGGAGGGTTTTGGCGGCGCAGAGGAGAAACCCTGCGGCAGTATCAGGAGAGGTATGTTGAGAAACACGGCATGCCGTAAAACCCTTCAGGGCTTATCTGTGATTGAAGCCACGCTCCCCCCACAGCGAGAGGCTGCACATCAACTTGCCAGATCCTCCGACAGATAAAACGACTAGGTTTGTTGGCAGGGCAGAGACAGGTACTGGAAATGAGAGGAAGGAATAAACACGGCACTGAAAGCACTGCAACAAAGGCTTTACTGTTGAGTGCTCTGTGAATAGTTTTCCCACGTTTCAGGACACATTAGGGTTTGCTGTGAACCGTGACTCTAAAACATTTGTCAACTGGAAGCAACCACATGCCAGATTGGGTTTTTCCCCTGCTTGAATCTTGGGTATATCTGTCACAATATGTACTCAGTCCTTCACTAAAACACCATCTCCTGCTGCTGGTTTCCTTCACCGTGGTGCCTCCTCAGGCATTTTGCAGCTGCACCCATAAAATGTAGCCTTTTGACTCATTTGTAAACTGAATTCCCTGCAGTCTGCATCTGAGAAGTTTCAGCATTGTTTGGCTCCTGGTAAATATTTAGACCTGTTTTGTTGTTGAGGATGTTTCAAAGCCTCAGATTCTCATTCATCTTCCAGCTGAACTTTTACTAAGTCATGCAGACAGGGGAGCAGCTGGAAACTCTGGGTAGCCTGAAAACAATTCACCAGGCGCCACACAGTTTGTGTATACAACAGGGGCTCCTGGCCAGCTTTGGGGCCCCTCAGTGTAACTGTTCTCCTCTTGTTCTGCACCCAGAGGCAGGGCAGAGCCTTCTGTGTGGCGATGCTGTCCGAAAGCAGGAATATATCTTTGTCTCAATCAGTCTGTGTTGTGTGAAAGAGAGGTTCAGTCCAGCTGCTGTTTGGAAACAGTTCAACTGAATAATTTAAGTTTATAAATCGCATTCGGAGCAAATTTTAAAAATATGTTTCTGAGGATATTTTCCAAGAGTTTCACAGTAGCAGAAGAGGAAACAGACAGCGTGTTCGCCAGAAAACTGTTGATTCTGAGCTCTTGCATTGATGATTACGTGAAATACGTGAGAATTGTGTGAAATGTGACTTTCTACAGCTGTTTCAGAGTTTAAGCTCGAGCAGAACTGTGCATTCGATACAAGATTAACAGGTGGTTGTATATGAACATGATGTGATTTGTTAGATCTTTACCAAAACAAAACAGCTGTGATTAGGTTTAATAATCTGAGTGGAAACCCTGTGATTTACTTTTAAAGAGGTGGATTATTCTCACTTTACACCTCCTGTCTAATCCTTTTTTCCCAGCTTGTTTATTACGATGCACACACACTGATTTGGCTCTTGAATAGGAAAACAGCAAAAGGTTCATTACACAACATTTATCTTGCAGCTCTTGGGCAACATGACCAACATGTTTTCCTCTGATCTACAATCAGCTGTGGGTTGTTATGTGCTGGGTGTTTACTTTTAACTTTAATCTGACACTTTAAATTTTATTGGGCAATTTTAAAAGAATTCACCCAAACTTTCTTTTGACAGCTTCTAACTTGAACTGGCTGATCTGTGTGCAGGTTTTCTATCATTTGTTTCATGAGGATTGCTTGTCCAAATGATGCTGATAGTGCAGAACGTGCTCCCCACATCTGTAAACACTTCACAGCATCATGCGCACAGCTTTGAGATTGTAGCCACATTTTCAGTCCAATAGTTTAGCTGAGATGTTCAACAAAACACAAACTCTTCATTTCAGAGTAGGTGTGATTGTACAACAATAAACATGATACAGTAAAGATGACAAGTCTGTTACCTCATTTGACAGAAATCAATGTATTTTCTTGTTATTTCTGATCATTTGATAAACAAAAATGTCTATTATGCTTGAGGTAATTAAACCCCAAACAAAACAGGGGGGAAAAACCTTTTATGCTTATTTTTGATCATTCAGGCACTGGCTTAAACATTTCAGGGCACAGGAAGTACCTCTCTGCAGGAAAAACCCTGGATTTTTTTCATGTTAACAGCTTCTACTAGTCACTAAAAAACTTCAAACATTGACACAATCGCTCATGTTTCTAAAAGGTTTTATTTTAGCTTTGTTTAGTTTTGATACAATAACCCAAACTCTATGTTTTTACTTCAGAGTTGTATAAATTGACGAAAATACAGCCACCCTCCGTGTATTAATCTATTGGGAACATCGATCATGACTTTTGTGTTTGGCTGACAATAAGGATTTAAAGATTAAGAGACAAGACTGGAACTCCTGTTAAACATCACATTTATTTAACCAAAAATGTGTCTTTTAGGATGAGCTGGAGGCGGCCACTGCAGCACGTCTGGGTTTGGGGGTGGTGCCTTCCCTGAAACCATTCCTGGAAGATCAAAGGAAACAAAAGGCGGCACATTAGAGAAATCAAACTCAGGTAAAAAGAAGGACAAAGTCACATCCTAGATTACTAAACAACAAGCTTTACTTTGTCTCACAGAGTTTACTTTACTGACAGTTAGTTACATATTCACTTGGTTCATGGCTGATTATTAATTCTCAACAATACGTTTTCGTCCTGAACTTTTTTTAATGGGAGGATAATCAATAATTCGGCAGTGCCTGATGTAGTGATAACATTAAGGAGGTTTATGTTTTGTCCTGTCAAACATTTTATCCAGAGGAAGCGCGGCACTAACAAATTGAAGGAGACTGAAATATGGCATCTAATTACAGTAAATAGGTGTTATTAAAGCACCCTGTAACTTGTCCCAACAGGGCAGGTGCAGGTGTAACTAATGAAGTTGACTCAGTTCCACTGAAGTGTCCCAGTTTGACACTGCACCAACGTGCCACAAACCTGGATCACATTCAAACAAATGAAATGTTGACCTGCATTATTAAAAGTTGCAACAAAAACATGTCAAAAGAAATGTGCCGTCAAAACACGATTCACCGGAGATGAACCTACTTCGCTGCAGGACTTGTGTGGATCGACTTTGTTTAGGGAACTTTAGGACAACATTAACCTCCCTTGTGTCTGAGCTTGTACATAGTTAAACTTACATCACTGACTATTGCATAGCTGTGGATTTGGAAACCAACAGTAATCTTTGGTGCTTTAGATCTGAGGTTCACATTTAGTTCTGCATCGTTAAGCCAACAACGCTCACAATAAGCTCAGTGTTATTTAACAGTTTGTTATTTTAACGTTCTAATTTTATAACTGCTGACTTCAATGTGCCACTAGGAGTGATTAATAATTTAGGTTATAATTACACAGACATTTTTCTGGAGACACCAGGGACTCTGTCAACTCTACTTCAAAACAGCTGCTGTCTGGGCTCAAAGCCCGAGCTGCCACAATGGACTGACAAAAAGTGGACCAGCTGATTCATCAGAAAAGTTGCCCAGATTTATTTCTCTAAATGTTTGATGTAGTTAAGCTTCATAATGAAAATGTATAACTGGAGTTTAATTAGTGGCAGATGTAGTTTTTCCCAAGTCTTATATTATAGATCTGACATTACTGGCACTGTATTTAGATTTGTATATTGATATTGTATTTTTGTACACTGTGGGACTCATTTCAATTTCTGTCTGTACAGCACATGTAGAGGGCGCTTTGACTTGACACTGGTGACTAGTCAGAGTGACTTGGATGAAAAGAGGGGTCGATGTAATATTACGCATTGTTTAAATATATTTTTACATTAAATACTTTTTGTTGGTGTAAATTCAAATAATCACAACATTTCCAAAGCAATTTTACTCCCACGCTGATATAAGTCACTGGTATTGTCTGACAATGACGCTTACCTCAGAGAAAATACTGATATCATGATGAATTCATTTGTTCAGACATTTATTTTTCACCATCATTGGTAAGCGGCATTGACAAGACTAAACAGGACTCTATACAGGCTGCACAGAATCCCACGACGAAGCACAAGTAACATTTACGTCACAAATCTGTTATATTTCATTGAAAGCACATAATATTAGATTAGATTATTTCTCGTGTCACATACAATGACACGAGAAATATCTAATTTTGGGCAGAAATCCTGAATGTCCTGTGACCTTTTGCTCAGTTCTCTGCTGCAAAATAACCAAGAAAGGAAAACACCTCCTAGTTAAAGTTCCTGTGCACTGTAACTCATGTTACCACTGACATTCAGCTTGCAGCATCATGTTTATGTTCTTAGTAAAACGCTGCAGTGAGGTACTTTAAGTTCAACTGTCAACGCAGTTCAGTGATCACATTTATCCTGTGGTTTTAGTAAACATTTGTTTGAAACCGTTTACACCAATGTTTGTTTGTGTATACCCCATATTTTCCTGCCCAAACACAACCAACAGATAATCATACAGCCGCAAAAGGGGTCCTTTTTTTATATAAATACTTTGAAATGCAGACATTAGCTTCTATTTCACTGATATAAGATGCAGGAACCTTGCTTACATTTCCTGCTACAACTATGTCAACACAACACACAACTCACCAGCAGATCCAATGTTTGTTTCAAACTGATATATCAAATTAATTTGCTACTATCTGGTTTACACATAAAGTAAGCAAACCGGTCCTTTGCTGCAGAGTGAGCACACCGCTAGCAGAGCATCTACAAACACTTGTAGTTCTGCTATGTTTCACCTTAACTGAGTATTTCACATGAGTACACCTCACCTGAATCTGCGGTAGACGACCTTCAGGTGTCTCAGGCGGCCAGTGCCGGTGGTGTTCCTCCTCTTGGCCTTGGCGCTCCAGTTGTCTAAAAAAAACCAAATATCTCAATAAGTCAAGGCAGCCTGGCCATCCAGATAGGTGTAAAGCGGAATAATAAATCATTCATTAAACTGTGAAAAACACTGTATAATAACAAGTAAGTTCTATCACAATAGAGTGAGCAACACATGTTAATTATTCAGTGAAAGCTTCAGAGGATAAACATTGTCTGGGCTTACACAGATAGGAAACAAGTCTGGAATCAAATCAAAAACGTATTTAGTAAAATATTTATACTATATCGAGCTGTAATTTTTCATAGTAGTCACCTGTGGGCATCAGGAAAATGTTCTTTGTTTATTCTGTGTGTGTAGATTGTTTAAATAGCATCAAAGAAATGAAACTGTAGCATTGTTTTTCAAATTTCAAGCATTGCGTTATACTGCTTAGAGACATTTTAAAGCTGTGTCCTTGTAGTCAAGGTTTTGTTGTTTCCATACATGTGCAGGACTTTATGTTGCAGTGAAAACCGAACCCACAGTGAGTAAAACTGTTGTCCAGAAACTGTTTAGAGGGTTTAGTCACTGCAAGCTGCTACACAAACAGGCTGGAAGACACCCTGTCTGCACATTTTGTTTGTTTGAAGACCACATATACTAAAGACCTCAATGTACAATATTCTCCTGCATGTTTAGCAGGTTGACGTCAACATCCGATGCACTGTTTCAAATAAAGACTAGTATCAACACTTGTTTTTACTTCACTTACACTTTCTCTTGCGCTTCTCGGGGTAGCCACACTTGCCACAGGAGGACTTCTGCAGGTGGTAGGCCTTGGACCCGCAGCGACGGCACAGAGTGTGCGTCTTGTTCCGGCGCTTACCGAAAGATGATGTTCCCTTGGTCTGAGAGATGAGAGATCACAGGTCAGGAACAACTCGCTGAGACCTCGGTGCAAGTTACAGCTGAGGCAGTCTTGTCTCAGTTAAGAAGAATGAATCACAGAAAGTCATTTGTTCAGACATTTGTGTTTAAAAGCATCATTGACAAGACGTAAGCTTCACACTGGATGGGAGAGATGCAGCGATACTGAACCTCGCTGGTGCAGTTAGCCACACAGTTCACATGCGAGGTCCTGTGCAGTCACTAAGACTAAAAGCTAGCATTCGCTCCAATAACCAATAAATAAAACACTACACACGACACAAAAACATTCTATTAGCACAGTAGCACGCTGAGTGCGTACACTAAGCTAGAGGAAACGCATTCACATCATGCTGTGACTAGCTAGCTGTGCTAACCACAGCGGCAAAGCTAGTTAGCCATTTCACTAGTGAATAACTCGTACTGAATAAAACAACACGAATTCAGCGTTGGTCATTTAATGTTTAAAAACGAAAAAAATCTAGTTCATGTCATCTGGGTTCCCTACGACTAAATTACACCCAGTCTGTACACCGGACCTCAATGCTAATGGCAGCTAATGAATGCTGAATGGATGTGACAAACATCAACGTTTATTTCATCAAACTGGTGCTTCATCTCAAAAATACTTCATCCACACTGTGAAGATGTTTCTCCGACAACACAACATCCACAGTCCGTGTCACACAAACGACACAATAAACAGATGTTCATAGATTTTTGTCTGCCAGCGCTGCTTCTTACCATTTTCGTCCGGTGGCTAAGGGAAAAGAGACCGGAACAGGGGCTGGCGTTCCGTCAAATTACGTCCGTGCGGATTCCTGTGTAACACTGAAATGTGACCCCTTGTAGCATTGTGCTAATGAATCGATCTGGAATATCAATGAACATAATTAGGGTAAGTGTAATTTTTCTAACCTTCACTTCTCTTTGGCATATTTAAAGACATTGTCTGTTTAGTAGAGTAGAGTTCAGTTAACGTCCATACAACGCTTCTATTTTAGTTTTACTATGAAAATAAAAGAGTGCCTGAGCAAACACCACTAAAACTCAAAATACCGGTCAAAATATCTCCCTAGGTCATAATCAGGAATTTATTTGCCAGAGATTTATTCGTTTTTGAAGAAGCAAGAAAATTAAAATTAATTGAATGATTTCCACAAGTGAAAGGTACAATTGATGTGTAAAGTTTTCCCAGTGAGCCATTTGGATTGATTCAAACTTTGTACTTATACATAAAAACTTTATTTTCAAATTTTGATGTTGTTCAGACTTTTCAGTGCAATGTCTATATTAGTTAGCACATACAAAAATTAGATTCGATTGATTATTATTATTATTATTTTAATGGTTTGACTGTTGTCCATTAAATTTGAATTGATAGAATTAGGACATATGTTAATACCACTGATATTTAAATTCCTAAAGACATTGTCACATTACTAATTGCCAGGGATGCTCAGCATACAGCACTGAAGAATTTATCAGGCTGTGTCCCTCAAAAGACCTACTTTCATGTTTTCACATTTTAAAAAGCGTTTGTTGCTTTTCTTATTGAAACTAATGGATTACTCTCAATATGACTTTCATGTAGGCATCCCTCAAATCCAGCTCTTATTTATTTTTTTTTTAAAACCCTGTTTACATGTCTATGTGGTGTTTTTATATGCTGGAAGACACATCATGGGTAAAATAAGCAGTCTGCACCACGTCTGAGTGTTTCTGGAGAAACTGCAGTGTACTGAGGACCATCTCAACATCTTTAAGAATAAGATTGCAGATAAAAGGCACAAAGGAGAGTAGTTTGTATTGTCTTGTTTCAGTTTGAGGGAAGAGCTCCTATCAGGAAGGAGTTTGTTAAAATCAGTGCTGCTTTGTGCCAAGAGAACTGATAAAAGTCTCTTGAGTGCTTATTTTAGAGATATGCTGGGCTAGTCCAACTGGTTGGACCAGTCCCCCGGGGCAGACCCAGATCACAGAGCTGGAGGGACTGCAGATCCCATCTGGCCTGGAAGCATCTTAAGAGCTGCAGGCTTTGGCTCACAGTGAGCTCGTGTGGGCTACTTTTGCACTCCCTGCTGGTACGAGAATCTGAAACCAGATAGAGAACAGATTGATGGGTGACTAAAAGTGCAAAGAAAACCTTTCAAATATCTTGCAATGCTGTTGTAGTAATTAATAATGGGAAGACAATTTCTGAGACCTGCCATGTAGTAAACAGGTTGGCAGCAAATGCAGAGGACTTGCTTAATTTTGAATTTTTGCCTGTGATCCATGAGAAAGTCTGTGTCTGAATAGCATGTGACGTTCAGGAGAGTGCAGAGCGCTTGTCTTTGTTGACATCTGGTGGAAGGCACTTACCTAATTCACTTAGGCGAGAGTGGAAGGCTTCAGCTGTAGGAAGCATTAAAAAAAACAAAAAAACCAGTCAAAGTCAGTGACGTTAGTGGAGGAAAAGTTCTCGCCTGTTGCTGTAGTTAGAGAAACGTTATTATCAGGCTAAATTTGGAAGGGAGCTGTTTCCTCACAGCTAGAAGGTCCTGAGCTCAAATCTGGACCTGGGATCTTTCTGTGTGGAGTTTGCATGTTCTCCCCATGCAGCATGGGTTCTTTCTGGGTTCTCCGGCTTCCTCCCACACAGTCCAAATACATGTTGAGGTCAATTGGTGATTCTAAATTGTCCATAGGTGTGAATGTGAGTGTGCTTGGTTGTCTGTCTCTCTGAGTAGCCCTGTGATAGACTGCTGACTTGTCCAGGGTGTCCCCTGCCTTCACCCTGAGTCAGCTGGGATAGACTCCAGCCCCCTGCGACTCTTGTGAGAATTAAGTGGTGTATAGATAATGGATGGATGGATAAGACAGGACAGATAAACTTCATAGATCCCTTACCAAAGAAAATTACATGTTACAGCAGCAAGATAAGAATAAAGCACAGTAAATAAAAAGACAAATAATACAAAAGTAGAATAGAGATTAAAAAAAACAAAAAAAACAATGATAGTAAAAGACTGTGTGCACTTCTCACTTTTACAGATAAACCACAAAGGATAATTGTACCCAGATTGTAGGACACACTGTGTGTAGAATTGGACAGAAAATTTATGAAGATAACTTGTTATTGCACTTGCAAAGGCTATAAAGGGAACAGTTTATAGGTGAATGTTTCCCCTTCACAAGCACCTGCATCTATTCTCCTGGACTATATAAAGGATCGGTCACCCAGATTACTGAGCATAAATAAACCATAAAATAGACAAATCTCACTACAGCTGGTAGCTAAAACCAGCAACTCTTGTCCACAGACATTTTTGTCGCCAGGCTCACTTTTAAATATGATTCTAGCTGTAAATAGTGAATTAAGACGAACTTCAAGGTGACCAGTTTGAGAACCAGTAGTCTAGTGATCCAGCACTCACTGTGACATTATTGTGGAATGTAGGATGATCTGAAGAGCACAATGTCTGACATTTTCTATTAATTTTAGTCTGAAATAACATGAAAATGGTACGATTATCAGGTTAAAATTAAAAGATTTGATTGAGTCCCCAGTGTTTCAAGATCAAGAGTCAACACGTCCGGTTCAAACATCCACCCATCCATTATCTATACACCGCTTAATCCTCACTGGGGTTGCAGGGGGCTGGAGTCTATCCCAGCTGACTCAGGGTGAAGGCAGGGGACACCCTGGACAGGTCACCAGTCTATCACAGGGCTACACTTAGAGACAGACAACCACGCACACCCACATTCACACCTACAGACAATCTAGAATCACTAATTAACCTCAACATGTTTTTGGACTGTGGGAGGAAGCCAGAGAACCTGGAGAGAACCCACGCTGTACGGGGAGAACATGTAAAGTCCATGCAGAAACTGGGATGTGAACTGGTGACCTTCTTGCTGCAAGGCAACAGTGCGAACCACCGCTCCACCTGGCAGCCCCCGGTTCAAACATCTGTCTTCACATCTGCAGCGTGTACATTTAAATACATACAGCTGAGCAGCCCAGAATGCCTCAGAGAGACTTTAATGACATAATCCAACAGCCGTAGATGTGGACTGTGGTAGAAATCAACAGCACTAATGCAGTTATTAGTGCAGGAGAGAGAGCCACTTATCGATTTCAAGGGTTTTGTTCTGAGTCATGACATCAGGTTTGTGAAATGTTGCGGCTGAAAAATTCCACCTCCATCATACTTAACTTCAAATAAAATCACAGAGCAGGCTGAGAAATATTGTTTAAAAGCGTTTGTCTGCAACTCCAATGAGTGATAAAACGACAGAGAGAGCATAGAGGCAAATGCTGGAACATGAAACCACCTACAGGAACCAGTGATACTGCAAAAACAAGCTCATTAGCGGTGGTGCAGCAGCCATGTCAAATCTGAGGAGATTACAGTGAAAACGCTCGTTCTTGGATAATCTCTCCAGTTTAGTGGCAGCTTCTGATCAGGTGATTTGCTCGGTTGTGGATGTCGTGGGTGTTGCAGGTGCATCCTTGAAAAGCAGACCATGACCTTGGGTTTTGGCTGAGTAAGGAGCATCTGAATGAAACGCGGCGCGCCCCCGGCTGCCAGGCTGAGAAAAGGCGCATCCTCCTGCTTCTGCATTTCAGTCACGCAGCTTTGCTCAGATTGGAGATGAAGCATGAGGGATGTGTGTGGTTGTTTTGGTTTTTTTAACCTGCAAAAAAAAAATCTTGTGCAGCTGCCATCGGTAATTTAAAGACATAAATCGCGCTTTGCGTCGACGCCTTTGCTTTGCTTGAGTCAAGATTTGAGGTTTTTATCGCAGACAGGGAGCGCGTAATTTTGGACCATCTGCATTGCTTGCATCCGATCGAGCGACTGCATGTCGTCGAGGCGAGTAGCGCGAAAACAGATAGAAATCAAGAGTCTGCTTCGGGATATTTAATGCTTTTTTTTTGCAAAAATATTTAAACATATAATTTTGGAATTGGGTGCAGGGGCGATAAATAAGCGATACATTGCGATGCTCAGCATCATCCACCAACAGTGATGGTGCGTTAAGACAGCAGTAAAATAGCCTAGAAAGGTGATGGACGGTGTCCAGTCCAGCGGGTACAAGACACCTGCGATCCTGGTCCTGAATGCAGCGCAGAGAGACACCTAAGCGGGTGTCACCGTCAGCCCTGGATGCTGCGCCGAAGGATGGGATACTCCGACCCATCGTCGGGTAAAGATATACTCGGCAATAGGTCTCTTTGTTTCATATTTATTTGCGCATTTGGACTCGTCACACTTTTGCAACAGATTCTCTATGGAAAAAACTACATCAAGAGGTAAGTGTTGATTTTTTTTTTCTTACCTCAATCCTCATTAACAAGCAATTAGGGCGCAGGCCTCCATGTTAATGTCAGAGTTACAGGCTACACACTGCTGTAAGGTTAATATTCAGCCCTAAACCGCATGAATTCATTGATTCTAATAAATGACTGAATGGTGAAAGGTAACATATGAATGATAAACTGTTAAAACTGTCCAGTATAAATGGGAGTAGTCTGGATGAAGCACATGTCAGGACGCATGGGGAAAACAAGCTTTAGTGGCTGGAAAGAACAAAAGCAATTAACCATCCATCTTTTTTTCCCAGTGGCATAGTAAAACAATCTCCATTTGGATTTATTTTTTTGATATTTTCTGAAAATGAAGCATCACATTCACACCATACACAGCACCTCAGCTGTGTATGGTAATGTTTTTCCCTTTCTTTTTCCAAAGATCTTTGTTTGGTTTTTCCGTTTCAGCGTTCTTGACTGGTCCTAGCCTACATCTTACAGAGGCATCAGATTATCCTAATGCACACTAAAGCTCCTGGAGCTGATGATGATGATTACTGACAGCAACATGTTAAAGATGATGTGTATTTCTTACCGATCCCTGTTAAATAAATCATATTCACCACACTAGTGCACAGCCACTGCAGAGCCACGTTTTGTAATATTCATAAGAGCTCTCTGCAACAGTATTTTTGGGTAGCCCACTTTCAAGTCCATTTATTTGCTAAACTGCAGGCCGCTTCCCTCTCAATTCTATGAAAAATTCAGTGCGAGACGAGCAGATGCTGAGAAGCTGGGATGTTTGATCTTTAGGTGGTTTAAAAGAAAAAAGACGAATGTCACTCCAAAAAAGGACAAAAACAAATTCTGAAAAAAAAAAACCCCACCTCCAGATACTTAACAGACAGCACATATATGCTTATGTCAAAGCAAACATACATGTGCTACAATCTGAAAGCTCCCCACAGCTACCTCCCCCCCTCCTCTCCCCCCCTGCCACCCTGCTGGGCTGGTCTGATGATACTCAAATTGGATTCATGGCATCCTGACCTCTGCAGCGAGATGCATGAATTCAGACCCGACACACACACACACACACGAACACACCTCTCCTCGCCTGTGCCCTGACTTTACTCCTCAGCCTGGGAGAGAGAGAGAGAGAGAGAGAGAGAGGGGAACAAGCCACACAACCAAGTGGGCACAGCGGCAGCCATTTTGCTACAGTCTGTCTGCACACACACCTCAGTGCAAGTGGGGGAGACGGGGGAGAGAGAGAGAGAGAGAGAGGAGGGAGACAGTGAGAGACTGCAAGGGAGTGATAAAACTGAATGTGTTTGCAAGTGTGTGTGTGTGTGTGTGCGTAACAGAGAGAGAAGACGTCATCTTATGAAATCTCCCCGAGCGTCAACACTCAGGAGTCCACATGGGTCCGACCACACCCAGCCTCCTTCCCCCCACGAACACCCAGGCCTGAGAACACGTCAGCAGCATTTGTATTATTGCACTAATGCGCTTTGGGGGCTTCACAGGAGAAAAAAAAAACAACAACTCAGTAAATTACCTGAGGCGTGTCGGCTTGCACGGCTGCAGAGGAGACATTTGGGTGCTTACGGAGTGAAAGCTCAGGGATTAGCAGTTTAGAGCATCACTCTTACACCAACTCGCCCAAAGGTTCCTGCTTTAAATGTATTAAGACGCTCACTGGGGTCATCGTTGTGCTTGATGAAGCTCTGTTCCCTCGCGGACCACCTCGCTGACATCAGGATGAAACTGTGGAGGTTGTAGGATTGTAAAATGGCAGGAGGCTTATTAAACCATCACAGTGAGTGACACACTTCTGTGTAGGAAGACAAATTAACTTTCAACTCTGCTTGACTTGAAGCGGGCGATGTCTAAAAATACCCTCAGCTATAGAAAGGCTGCAGGTTGGTTCATAATTGTCCAATATCAAGTGCAAATTTGACTGCAAATTACAATTCTCTATATTATCAGTTTGACACTCTATTATTTAATCAAACCTGCAGTGTAAACACATTAGAAACATGTTAAAGTGTTTTTCTAATCAACACTCTTGATTCAATTTACAGTGATATGAAAGAAAGGCGCTGATCCTCACATGTCAGAAACTGGAACAAGCAATTATCTGCTCGATAAATGATGAAAAGCAGTTATTCAGTTATCGAAATTGATGTCAATTCATGCACATGTGACTCTGCTCCTGAACCCCTCTTCATACATTATGTAAGCGGGTTTTCATCAGGCTGTTGACAGAGCTGCACATAAATGTACTGGCTGTCGCAGCAAATCACAGCACTTATAACATTTTAAAATTTAATACAGAGAGGAAGTTACAAAGCGATTAGGGAGACCAAATAGACAGTGGTTGACTTTCTTGTTTCGGTACAAACAATAAACTACTTACCCGTCTTAATTGTTAGAGGAAATTCGCCTGGACGGATGGCCGTCTGGATCGATTGCGCCCAACCTTCCCTAAAAAACCCAAGTCACATAATCTATTAGTATTAAAGTCCTTCCTACTTTCCAGTCCCATCGCCTGGCGAGCCTGAGGGTAGAATCAGTGCACATTAGTGCTGCAGAGGAACTATGTGCATGTCGTTTGTCTACTAATGCTTAGATTACTGTCTCAACTGTGCTCTTAATTGAGTCAACAGGAGATAAATGGGCTCCTAATGTCTGAATTTGAACCTGCTCTGAGTCAGTCATGACACGAGATTGAAGGTTTTATTGGTCGCTGCAATTTTGGAAAACATCAGTATTATATAATGTTATATATTGACTTATATTAACCAACCTGATGCATTTTGGATTAAAATCAAGCCTGAATAGGAGGCATGTTTTGGTGATGACTAAGATCTGTGGGTAACTAAATTGTGCTGCTTTGATTAGCTCTTTTCCTATTTCAGGCACACACTCTAAAGCGAAGGCACAAACCGTCTCTCTGATTTCGGTGTGTTCACTTCTGCAGCCGCTTTCTGAGTATTATGGAGATGTTGAAGTGGCACTCAGAGAAGCCAAATGTGCCTGCACATCAGTATTGACACGGTGATGAATGCTCGATCACATAATGCACCCAGAAAGGCTCTTTGGGTTCGGTCTCCCCGCTGACATACACCCACAGAGCGCTCGCAGAGATGAGTCACACATGAATACTTGCATGATAATCAGGCAGATAACTGGAGAAGTTGCACGCCCACGGATATTTGGACATATGGAATGTGATTAGTCTGCTCGCAAATCAAGATTAGACTCCGATTTTAATATGTTCAAAGAATAAATCTGATAACAAATCTTTTGAAAAGACCAAAACCACTGTATCTAAAGCCTTATATATCATATTCCTCCGTGCTATAGACTGCAGTATTTATCAAAAAAAAAAAAAAAGGTAAAACACTGTTTCATTGGCTGACACCTTCCTTCATTCTGAATTGAACTCCACAGACACCATTCTGGGAAATGCACCAAATCTGCAAATGAAAATAGACCATTTCCTCCTGTGTGAGTGACATTTGCTAAAAACAACAGTGCCAGCAGCTTTAGGAAATCACACTTTTTGAAATGAAAGCACATTTTTGTTTAGATTCTTACATCTTCAAACGGAGCCAGCGGACACTTGAGCTGAAGGCCACAGACGAGTTAGGGAACTCACTGATAGACGGAGTTACGCTTTAATTGTTTTGGTCTTTTCATTGGATTTATTGGAAACAACAAAAATGTAGAATATTGAATAGTATTTTCCTGTAGTTAAAAATGGCATACATCTTGATATTATGCAAAAATGTCCTTGTTCTCTCTTGAGGAAATCATTAAATTATTGTCAACAGGCTCCATATCTCTGGAACACTGCTTCACTAGAATGATGTTTCTATACAACTACACTGCATTGTTAATTACATTTAGAAAGAAACACATTTTCATCCTGAAAGCTAAAACTGTGACGTAGTGAGAAACACTCTAGTTTGAAGAAGTTCAATGTTAGCAGGATAGCAGCGTAAGTCTGCAGCAAGAACCTTCACCCAGACGGCCAGGCTTTGTGTCCAGGAAGGGACGACTAGACTTTAGTTTTCATTCCTGGTTAGCTTTAGACACCAAAACCACATTTTCACAACGATACGTACATCTTAGAAGCTCGGCTAAGCTTTGGCACCAAAATTACTTTAGTATGCTTGGAAAAAATGTGGTTTGGGTTTAAATATAACCCTTTTGCAAAATTTTGAAATCTTCTTTCCCACTTTCTGGGTGATAAGTCTTTTTCCATTTCGCATATTGATGCTAGCTGGAAAGCAATATAACAAAAGGTAAAAATATGCTGATCTGAAATGTACTTATGATACAAAACAAACAAATGCTCAATACATAAGTGTCTAATCCCTTAAAACATAATTGAGAATGCAGTTTAGTTGTATAGAAATGTACTTTTTGAGAGACAGCGCTGCTCTAGAAGTAACTGGTTTATTCAAGGGACGTTTATAACATCCTAATGTTGTGAGGGTTAAGAAGCATCTGCACCAAATTCCTCCTCTGTGACCATCAAGTCTATTCAGCTGAAACTGACACAACTTCAGTTTAAGTTGCTCATATAGGTGAAGCCAAAAACACTAGATCCTGCAATCCATAGTAGGCTGTTGGTAGACACAGAGTTCGTCTCTAAATGAAGATTCCTCACTGAGCTGGGTTAGGTTTTCAGACGTATTGTTCTCACAGGCTGAGCGATGTTGACATATTGAGGAAACTGATCATTACGTGCAAATCTCTTTAATCAGGCTGAGAAGATGGTCGAATTTGGCAACTTTATACAGTACTCTTAGCAAATCTGTTGGCATCTCTTTCTCAGATGTAATTCGACATTTGCAGCAAGTTGGCACATAATTGTTCCTCGCTTAAATCACTGTGACTTTAATATATCGACTTACAAGTCTAACACTTACGCACGCCAACGTTGCAAAGTGTGAATGCTTGAATCAGAATAGTGGCAGCAGCCCAGCAGAACATAAATTAACCATTCAAAACCATGGTGTCATGAACTAAAAATATCATTCTAACCATGTTTGGTGTCATACTCTGACTGTTTTTCTTGAGCCAAAAAAGCTGGTCCCCCTTCATGTATCTTGTGTACGTGTGATCGTGTGAATGTGCAATTATGGCTTTGTGAGCGAACGTGTGGGCTTGTGTTTGCAGAAGAAGGACAAAGAAATCCCAAATAAACTGACTCATTTTCTTACTAGTGCGCAACAGTTTAGCCGACTCAAAGGGGACGAGACAGGAAATTGGACCGGTCCCGTTAATTTCTCGGATGATGGATCTCTGAAGCCTGCCAGAAATGGAAGGAAAAGGTACCTTTCCAGCGTGACTGACTGCACAACACCTCTGAGAAAAGAGAGTGTGAGAGAGAGAGAGAGAGTGAGAGAGACAGAGAGTGAGAGAAAGATAAAGAATGAAAGAGAACACAAATCCATCATAGTGACGACCCAGCCCTGCATGCGTTGGACTGGGCCGCGGAGACGCCCACGAGTCTCCTCAGATGCTGTAGAAAGAAACACAAGCCGCAGCACATTGACACATTTTCTTCTCTACTTGTTTTGACGTCTGCAGGTTTAGGAGGTTAGCAGGGGTGGTGATGTCACAGGACTATATCACACATTTAACTCTAACTTAACCTGTCTGCATGTTGACAGATGTTTCCGTCAGAATTTTCAGCCAGATTCACAGCTCTCCGTAATAAACACACCCTGCCTAGCCGATATTAAGAAGAAAAAAAAACGCTCTCAAAGGTAGGCCAGTTTGAAGGCATTTTTAGTCTTTTCACAGAAACCCAAGAATGCCTCTTTCTTTTTCATTAGTCTGAAAGGTATAAACTCTCATATTTTTTCAGTGGTGGTTGCACTTCAGATTTGCTCTTGCATGTTGTCTGATCCCGTCCACCTCGACCTCAGACCCTTAAACCCCATCCCCCTCTCCCTCTCCCCCCTTCCCCCTTCAGAAGCTGGTTGAACCACGGTCTCCTGTTGATGTACTGGCTTCTCCTTGTTACCTCTGTGTCCCATTCAGCACCCATCTCCAAATGCCTTGTCCTCCTCAACCTGTGTCTCATGTGTTCTGCACAGCTCTGTGTGTATGCCATGTACATAGTGTGGGCACTTCTCTCTGCTCCCCCTATCTCCCCCTTCTCACATCTGCATTGTCTCTCTCTGCGACCTGGATTTACCCCCCTTTTCCACTTTACTTTCCTTGTTACAAGAAGACAGGAAGGTGCCAGATTTTTTCTCCAAAGCTCCAATTTCATATTTTCACTGAGCAGTAGATGAAAAAAAGAAATGCTGGTTCCTCTTTCTCATCCTGGATTGGTTTTGAACCAGCATTGAAAACCAAGAGATGAAATTCATCTCACGAACGATTGTCTTGCTTTTAGAACTGAACAGAGAACACTTGCAAAGGTTTCATCATCTTAGCTAAAACAAGAACCAACAGCCCTATTCAGTGTGTCCGACACATTCTGTAAGACCGACGGTCCTCTCAGTAGAACCTCAGAAATACACTGCATCATCAGGTGGATGTAGACAACCAGTTTCATCGTTCCTTATTTGTACAGTTTCATCCCAGCATCTTGTTCCTTTCTATGCATCTCTCCATCGTATTGCTCGTTGTGTTCTTTTTTTTATTACCGTTTCCTTTTTAAACTCACCTCATTTTCCTTCACAGCCACAGGTAATATGTTTCAATTTTATCCATCTTTCAAGACGCCACACTCCACATCTCTTGAAAAATACCAACATTCATCCTAATAAATACACATCGCCGTTGCCGCCAAGTCCCATTACAGTTCCTAGACAATAAAAGATATTCATTACAATCTTAAGAGCTTTCTATAATTTAGATGTTGCCCAGAAGGACGATAGTTGTAAACAGATTACTTCAGACATCAGTGATTTTAATTAAAGCTATAAAGAAAAGCAACGTTCCTACAGTGCAGCAGCAGGAAACGTTTCCCCTCAAAAGATGCTCGAAGGATCATTATTTATACAAAACAAGTTTGGTTAAATGGAGCCAGAAAGAGATGAGTCAGTCAGTTCTGTGGCCCGCTGCCCAAAACTAACAGGAAAATTATGGATCAGAGATAAAGAGATCAAACCTCTGGGGGAGAGACTATTTACAACTGGATCATTTGGAAACCTTGATGTGCATTTAGTGCCTATTTATCGCCACGTCTGTGGTGCTGTTGGAGCAAGGTTGAATTTGCAAGCTGAAGAGAAGATCTGAAGCAAACATTTAATCATTATTTAGATGGAATCACAAAACCAAAGGTATTTAAATGTCATAATATGAAGAGACAGTTTTAGGCGTGGCCACAAATAGTTAACATTTTACAACTCTATCTTCCATTTTAGTTAATATTTGACTTTTAATTAAATGTGTTGTAGCACCTTTCTGTGACAGTTTTCCAATATAGACTCTTGACTTTGATTTCTCTTTAAGTAAGACCTTGGTTTAAATAACCCAGATTTAAAAAATAAATATAAAAGCACATTCAAAAATGTAATATGTGTGGAACTGAAATAAAGTTGAAATGTTCTGAAGCACCGATTAGGCAAAAGACACAGAATTGAATCTGGATTTAAATCACTTTTGCTGAACAGCCGCCACAGTGGATTGAGTTTACTGCTTTAAAGACTTTACGTTTATCTGTGACGTGCTAAAATGCAGTAAAGAAGCACAATTACATGCACATAAATTCGTGTCACTGGATCTAAAGACAGTCATTATTAGCTGACATAAGGACACAGCAGCAACAATACTAACAAGATTGAAGGAAATAAGTGGAACAATGTAATATTTCTCCTTTAAAAAGTTGAAATACCTCATTTGAATACACAATACATAAACAGAAGCTCCAAATCTTAATTTACATCCCAAACTCCAAGTTCAAACTGCTCCACAAGCATGTCAAGTAACGTTTAAGCAAAGCACAGTTGTGAAAATTAAACACATTTTATTCCTAATTAAAAATCCCTTCCTCTCCCTAACATGGTTGCACTTCAGAAAACAGGAACAAACCACGTTGCACTGGTGGTTTTCCTTTTCCTCTCTTTTCAGCTTCCATCCTGACCACCCCCACTCCATCCCAAATACACACACATTTTAACCAGACCACATGTTTTCTTAAAAAAAATAAAATGCTGCGCTGCAAGAAATGTGCATCAGTGCATGAGCAAATGGCAACTAAGTGACATCTTGGTTTAAATTGCACAACCGGCATGAATCCCTTCAGCTTTCTCTGCAGAACCATTTTGTTCAATCCGCCGAAGCCACACCACCACACCAAAGACATTATTTTGTGTACTTTTTGGTTCATGTTGCCATTTCAATGTAATAATTGTTTTGCATTTGTCCTAAATGGATTTCTTTAGATTCTACAGCTCTAGTAAGATGAAATTAAGTTCCAAATATCATTTTGTATGATTGCTCGTTTGCATGCTCACTGGTGTTTGTGTTTATGTTTACCAAAATATGAGTAAATCTCAAAATGTCATGTTACCGCAGCCAGCACAGTCGACATAGAGTACTTAACTGTATGCTCACGAAAAAAAAGCACTTTCATGTCCATATCCACCAGACACTACATCTGATCCACCATTTTAACAAGCTATGCACTGGAATTAACGCTCCTTTTCCCCTTTCAAACTGTTTTCTGTTTCTCTTCTAAATTAATACACAGCATAAATACACATTTAAAACCCCGAATATTACACATGCAAGTTCTCATCATAACTAGTTATAGACATGAAAATATGAGAGGTACTATTTCTCTTTCTCACTTAGCGTCTCACATTGGTTTAGACTAAGATGTAACAGAATCTGGTGCAAGTGTCCAGTAAACAGTATGTTACTCTCCTGTTTGTGACGCCTAAAATCAGTTACATCACTTCTGTCATTTGTCATCCCACAATGCTACACTGATATTTTACTATTTCATAAAGTCAAACCATAGACATTTTATAGTAATTATGCAGTATTTTTTTGCTTTTACTGTGCCCTTTAAACACACTGTTTTGAATATATATTGCATTTTTATCTCCACAGTTTGTTGATAATTCTGTTGATTCTCTTGTGTGTGAGGAGGTGCAGGCAGAGGATGACTGTGTTTATCCCTCCAGGTATCTGGAAAACTATGATGGCTCCTTTGAGTACAACTCTACTGCATGCAGGGAGCTCAGACAGGAGATTATGGACGTCAAAGTCCTGACAATGTGAGTGTTTATTTAAAATACATCCAAACCCTGTGTTTTTACCCCCTCCCTCCCCTTAAGGTGATCCTCAATCATCTGTCAGGTAGGTAGTTTTTGAAATAAAGTAAATGTTGGTGGTTAAGAGAAAGTGCAGTACTCAGACTCTGTAATGAGTCCTCAGAGGGAGGCCGGTGGGAGCTGTGCAGCTGGCAGAGTGGGCGGATGGTAGCGGTGGAGTGAGGCAGAGCGTGTAGGCAGACTGGCTGGCAGGTAGATTACCTGAAGCCTGAAGAGACTGTTGTCAGACAAACCACCATCAGTAAGAATAAAAAGACTAGGAGGCTTTGAGGATCAGATGCAATCTGGCGAAGACTTGATGGAAATCCGGGGTAGATGCAGTGCAGGAGCAGGGAGGCAGCATTGCCCATCAGGGACAACACGTCAACAGAAAAACAAAAGAGGCACAAGGGATGGTAAACTGGAGACAACACGACAGCAGACCATGACAGCGAATATCAGGCAGCTCTGTGGAAACCAATATGAATAATCATCATATTTCCAAAGAGTAACTAAAATAATTGCAAGCCTTTACAATTCCATAGATGCAGAACAGTGATTTCTGGCACAGCTTCAGTTACTTTCCGCAGAGGAGAAAGGAAGATGTCTAAAGAGGTCAGCACTCCAGCAACACCTACAGCATGAAGAACCACATTATTGTCGAACCAATGTGTCTCAGCTTGCGAATGACCCCGATAAAGACTGCAAGCCCAAGCATGTTGTTCTGACACTAAAGCACCTTTTAAAACAGCAGGTGTCGCTGGAGTTTTAACCTCTTCAGTCTTAAAAACTGTTCCTGTGAAAATTGTTAAAAAATACTTTCAAAAATACCTTTAGCTAGTTTGCACCACCTCTTTGAGTTCATCATGTGGCTGGGGGCTTGAGTTGTCTGAAAAAGTAAGAAAGGTGAAGTCAATGCAGAAGGGCCTTTAACCTGCATTCTTTTAACAGCCAGCAGGGGGCGACTGCTCTGCTTGAAAATGAAGTCAGATTGTTTAGAAGTCTATGAAAAAATGACCGAACTTCTGACTTGACTTATTACCTCAATAAACACTTTCTTCATTAGTGTATGGTCTCAATCACTTCTTCCAAGACAATACAGCTTGATGTTCATTTAGCAAGCTGTGGTCGCATTTGGAAAAAAAACAAAGGACGATAAAACAGGATATGATTTAGGCTACTTTGTGATTGACAGGTCACCACTGTAGGGGTGTGTGTAGTTTCCTCACATTAGTTACCACACATTCCTTACGTCTGGTTTTGAAAGACTTAAACATTAGTCAGCAAATCAGTGGGTGACATAATGGTGACTGTGTCCATCTTCTTAATGCAGTCTGTGCACAAAATATTAAGTCCTGCTGAAAGTGATGGTCATTAGCAGGTATTTGATCAGTAAACAAAGTTTTGGACAAATAAAAATGTTGGTAATGATGGCGGGAGATTTCATGGCGACTCATCCAGTAGCTCTTGAGACATTTTACTCAAAATCACAGATGTGTTAGAGGACAGAGGAGCACAACAAGTGTGATGATTGATCCTCTAGGGACCATGAATGTTTACACAAATTTCCCACCCATAATTGTTATTTCAATTTCGACCAAAAGTAGTGAACCTGTTGATTTATAATGACAACTGACAAAAAATAGGGATGAGTTACAATTTAATATTTATACAGATTACAGAGAAAACATTCAAGTCACATATATTTATATCATTATTTAAATGAATTTTATACAGTTTCTAAAGTGTGTTTGTCAGGTCATATTGATGTGGTGCATTTGATTGCACACATTTTTCCATCAATTAGTAACTCTGCCTGTTAAAGAGATGAAGAACTGCTGAGTGAAATCGATGTTCTGACCATCCATGAGTTTCACAACAAACAATAAAGAGCAAGCTGACTACTTCATTTTCCAAAAAAAATGAAGGGAGCCTGAAGTAGAACTGAAAGAGAACCGTTCAACAATGCAGACGGCTCATAGAATCCATAATTCTGCCAACACTTGACAGCTGAGCTGTTGCTCTCATCTTTTATGATCTTTTTCACTGCAGCACCCTATAAATAACACATTTACACATCATGCAGTACATTACTGGCCAGATTCATGACGCTCAATGAGCCAATTGTGCTAACGGCAAATCTGAGCAGCATCTTTCTTCTTGTATGAGTATGAACATTGTCCAGTGACCTTTTGATGGCATCCCTAAGGCTGTTGAACTTTATCGTTAAATGCGTTCCGGGCTCTTGACGAAGGGGCCTTGAGCCACTCTGGCTGTGGCACAGAACAGCTGCTGACACTCTGCCAGACAGCAAAATAAAGATGCGGGGCTGCCTCCCACTGCAAATCCTATCACCCGGTCCATCTCAAAGGAAATGTCAGTTCAAGGACGGCTATTTCAGACAAGCTTGATGAAGCCGCTGCCTCTCTGCGAACAAGTCTAGATCAAGTGGCATCAGTAGGGCTGCCACCGGGTCCTCACTGCAATTTCTGTCTCTCCCCCACCCCCTTTGTGTGCTTGTGTTCCTGAGTGTTTTTCTTTTACAACATTTCTTCAATTTACTACCCCTGTAGAAACATGGTTAATCGGAAAAATCATGGCCATGGGTGTCCTCCCTCATTCCACAAGTCTCTCTGCCTGTCTGCCAGGGTGAAAACCTCAGAGCTGTTTGAGAGGTGGCGGAACCTGCAGGTGTGTAGGTGGGAGCAGAACAAGGAGGAGACCAGCAACTTTAAGTAAGCATTACTCACTCTGACTCAGGAGACTTTTACATCTAAACGTCTAGACTGGTACAAAAAATAGCTCTGATTTTCAGACTGTATATCTCTGTCTCTTTATGTCTGGGGTTGTGTCTCCTGATTTTATTTGGAAATTCGTATAGACAGACTTTTCTCAATGGAAAGTTATGCATTGCTTCTGCTTAAGGTCCAGTTTGTGATTGAAATAAAACAAATGCTCTTTATCTATGACTAGTGTTGACAGTGCTTTTTATGCAAATTGTCATTCAGTGAAAAAGGATTTATGCTGTTGTTTCATCTGGTAGAATAAAATACTGGACTTTTTTTTTCTGTAAATATCAAAACAAAAGGAGTGTGTATGTGTTTATGACCATATGGTATATAAAACATAAAAATAATGCTTTATGATGACTCCAGTGTGCTTCAGATTGCTCACCATTTCAGTGCTGCTCAACATGTTTCAATAAAACCAACAGAAAACAAAAACATGTAATAAAAAGTTAGATTATATGTTACATAGGAACACCAAATAATTAGGACTAAACAGACGTCAGTCAAATATACAGTTTAACCTGGTTTTGGTCTTGATGCTGAGATGCTTTCTTCTACAATGAAACTAACATTTTGCTTTTCTTCCCGGCAGGATGTCTCTGTCTCGCTGCTGTAATGCTCCGTCCTTTCTGTTCACCACCAAGAGGAACACTCCTGCAGGGACCAAGCTTAGGTACGAGGTGGACACCAGTGGTATCCTCCCTATTACCACCGAGGTCTTTAAGATGTTCCCAGATGTGAGTTCATCACCTCTTTTATCAGGGTTTCTTTTGCTCCTGACTCTCTGCTGCTTGCATTCAACCGTCGGTGTGACATTTTTTTTTCCAAACCTGGTGATTTGATCTATTTGTTTTTTCTCTGCTGCCTGTGTGACACTAACGCATCATGTCTGCTTCATCCAGGATATGCCATATTCCAAATCACAGTACAAGAAATGTGCTGTAATTGGAAATGGTGGTATCATCAAGAACAGCAAATGTGGAAAGGAAATTGACTCAGCAGATTTTGTTTTTAGGTATGCAAGATACAATCTTTCAGTCTTTGCTATGTGAGGGGCTGCATAGTGATAATCACGATTAGATTGTGGTTTAAGATTATACATGTTTAGAATGATTATAAATCAATTTAGCGGAATAGAATGGTGCCATTTTACTTGTACTGTCCTCAGTTAACAAGTAATAAAACTTGGACTTAGTCGTAATAATAAAGCACAACATGCACTCGCAAAAAACACTTGCTCAACATCTCACCTGAGCTTTTTTTTTTTTGATTGAGCAGTTTTCTATTTGTGAGTTGGCTGCTGCTAAACCTTAACTTGTCAACAGTTTTTGGCAATTTTTGAAACAGCAGATCATTGATTTCCCACTGAGGTACACAAAAGTTAGCTTCTCATTTCTAGCCAGGGTGACTGCCAATTTACCGCATGAAGCGACTTCTGCTGCTGGCAGTTTGTCACGACCTGGTTCAGAAGCCATGACAAAATAATGAGGTACAGGGACGCTCTGAAAGCTAAGTGGTTCAAGTGCTTACCAAATGGGCACATTTGCCGTGAGCATGCGGATACGCAGTGTGTCTCCTCGCTATCGAGTAAAGGTTAAAAATCCTGAAAAGAAGTCTGAAAAGTAAATCTTAATAGAAGACTTAGATGCAAGGTAAAGGCCAATGCTGAATTTATTTTAACAAGAACATGAAATATATGAATATTTCAGTGGGAGTCCTTTGTTAGTGCCTCAGATCTGTCCTTGATGAACACATACAAGATATTTTACTAACACAAAGAGGCTAAAGTGAGTACGAGCTTGGATGTTTGCTTTACTGTTTAAATTTTCAGCTACTGTGTGTGTTTGTTGAATGTAACACTATTTTAAATAGCTGGAGTGTTAGATTATTAATATCCCAATACAGAGCAGCCAGTGATACCCTACACTGTGATGAGCAGCCTTCCTGCAGTAATTGGGTTGTTTTAAAAGTTTTAATGCTTTTTTAATGTAATCTATGAATAATTAACGATGACACCCATCAGCCGTATACCACTTGGTTTGGTTAAGCTACTCGTGACAGCAGACAAACTCACTGTCTGGTCAGATCTTGACACTTTAGCTCTTGGTTTTGGAAATGCTAACAAGACAAACCAGCCTCGAAGGTCTTTCTGTAACTCAATGTGAACACAGCTTCAACAAGAAAAATCTAAAAATGGCACCTTTGCATGTCTAGTTTTGGTGCCAAGCTATTGAATAACCAGCGCTCAGGTTTAGCAGCAGCCAATTATGTTTGATCTTTTTGTCCCACTTCAGACCACAACCTTTCTGTGATTATCGTGCAGCTCTTCATTAGGTTTCACCAGCAACATGTCAAGCCTAAATAAAATGAAACTTGAACTCCAGTGAACTGATATTTTCCCTTTTTGCAGATGCAACATTCCACCCATTAATGACAAGTACTCAGCAGATGTTGGCACTAAAACAGATCTGGTGACAATAAATCCGAGCATTATTACTGAGAGGTACTGTAAATATGGGTCTGAACAAGAAGTCGTATCTCTTTGTCTCTCACTCTGCTTCTTCCTCTGGTCTTCTCCTCTCTTTTTTTTTTTGGCTTTTATCATCAGTTTCATTTTCTCTGCAGATTTCAGAAGCTGGAGAAATGGCGGCGACCGTTTTACGAAGTTCTCCAGAACTACGAGAACTCCTCCGTGGTGCTACCGGCCTTCTACAACACCCGCAACACCGACGTTTCTTTCAGGGTCAAGTACATGCTGGACGACTTCGACTCCCAGAGAGGCGTGTTCTTCTTCCACCCGCAGTACCTGCTGAACGTGCAGCGTTTCTGGGCCGTGCAGGGCGTCCGGGCCAAGCGGCTCAGCAGCGGCCTGATGCTCGTGACCGCCGCCTTGGAGATGTGCGAGGAGGTCCACCTCTACGGTTTCTGGGCGTTCCCCATGAACCCCTCCGGCATCTTCATCACTCACCACTACTACGACAACGTCAAGCCGCGACCCGGATTTCACGCCATGCCCCACGAAATTTTCAACTTCATTCACATGCATACACGTGGCATCCTCAACGTGCACACGGGGCAGTGCACGTGATCTGTCTGCATTAATGTGTGAGCGCAGCATTTTACCTTTTTTAGTTTTTTGTGTTGCATTTCCGTTCAGTTCACTATTTCCTCCTCCCTCGTTAAACAGAGCATTGGCCTTGGGAGCACACACTTCTTCTGCTCCCATTATTTCAACGACATGTTGAAGATTGCTTGCTTTAATTGCCAACATGTTTCTCTTTTCAACGTGTACCTTAAGTTGTTTACTTAGCCAGTCAAATCACTATGGTTACCTGTGACTCTGACCATAGGATGCTTGTTTTTAATGTGAAAAGTGGTCTTCATAGTGATGTTGTTTCTGTGAAGTTTTCTAGTGGCTCTGCTGTACAGAGGTGTTGTTTTCTACTCGATTGCACAGATATTTACGCTGAAACGGGGCTGCAGTGGGAGTCTTTGTGCCCCCTCATCCCCCTTCTCTCTCTCTTCTTCTTCTTCTCTCTTTATCTCGGACACTCTGTGGGTGTGGCAGCTTTTAATGTTTGTGTGAGACAAAAGCCTGAACCTTGATATTGAGCTAATATTTAGAAAAAAGAAAAAAGTTGTACATCCAATTGTCTACTTTTGTAATCTATTTCCTATTCACCAGATTCACTGGGTGAATATTTTAAAAACACTACTATTGAAATGGCCTGTTTTCAGCGGCCTACTTTCTCCCACTCAAAAACAATCCTCTGATATTTCTGGTGAAAAAAAATATCGGAGCACGCTTGTCACGGTTTTGGACAAAAACCTGATAAATATTTTACATGGATACCATCTCAACAGAAGTTTGACTTGCAAAGGCCATCCGATTTGTAAAAGCTACACAGCACTGTTGAGCAGCCCAGCCTCTCGCTGTCATTCATGTCTTAAGCCATATTGCCTTATGAGGTATCAAACCCCTCTGTACGATCTGCAACGCACCCGTGTGCTTTGCTCATCTACAAATACATCATCGTCAAACTACAATCTTAGTTTGTCTCTTGAATTCAAGGACACTTAAGACTTGCTAAGGTATAGAAATCCATGTGCAGTTCTCAGCGTATATTCTATTGGAACTACTCCGTGTAAGCTCCATTCATAACCACGTAATGCTCTGCATGACTTTATACTTGGCGTTGTGTGTGCCTGCTTCAATGATCACTGAAATATGTTTACACTTAAGCCTCTATCGAAGCTCACAGTGCTTTTGGAGATGTATACACGAACCTTTTCACGGAGAGATTCAAGTGAGTTATGTAATGCAGTTCTCATTCATAATTGATCGCAAGAGTGAAGATGGTCGCTGCCCCTGCTTGAAGTGCTACGACACTTTGTATTATTTTTACCTTCCACTTTCGACTGTGAACATTCAGTTTGCACTCAAGCGAGGCATTGTGCATTTAAGTACTGAAAAGCTGTGTAGGTTTATACTGTTTCTTTTGGTGCAAAAGGTTTTAAGAGATTGTAAATTATCGTTTCGTCGCTCCTCCGTCCGTCCACGCTCGACCGCACACTTTGTCCATAGGTTTCTTTGCATTTGAATGATAAGATGCTGTTTCTTTCATCGTTTATAGGTATTCTTTGTGTGTTTATGCACAAGAGATGTGAGTTGAACAAATATGAAAACCAAAAATTTTCGGCTTAACCACTAAATTGTTGTATGTCGCAACTGAACTAAGAATGGGAAAGGAGAGGAACTGGTCTGTGTAATGAATGGAGGTGATATATAACACAGTGCTTCTTAACTGACTCTGGATCATTTCTTTATACTGGTACTGTGTTTGTAAATAAACTTGTTTGGATTTTCTCACTTGTATGTTCATGGATTCATTATTATTATTGTGTGTGTGTGTGAGGGGGAGTGTAAGAATGCATTGCTGTATATGTGCCACAGAAAGCCTAATGGTATTAATAAACTGCCTGATTTATACATAGTTTAGTTTTTTCTGCCATCACATATAGTATGCTTGCTGGGGGTGAGTGAGGTTTTGATTTGTTTGCTCCATTTAGCTCCTTAGAGTCCACCTCCACTCAAAAATATATTTTGCTGATGTTACACTAAACTGGGTTTTCTGGCCAGAATGATGTATGCGCAGCGTTTGACACAAAAAGGTTGCTCTTGCACCCATCTGCTGCAGGTGCAAGTTTTCCCCAAACTGACCTTAAAACTAAGTGTAAGACATGCACACACAAGCACAATATGCAACCCAACTGAACAAGCAGCTTACCCAGCAGGGACGCAAGTGGAGTTTTAAAATGGAAGTTACATTATGAATGAAGGGTTTCTTTTAAGATGGATTTAAGACAGTTGTTCTCACAGAGGGGTGTTTGCATCACAGATATGTTACTAATGTAGCCAAAGGGTACAGAGGAAGACTGTGGAGGAGCTTTGCTCGGGTAATTTTGAAAAATTAAGAAGATTTGGTTGAAAATATATCACTCCACATGTTTAAACAAGGTGTTGTGAACAAAAGAGAAATGAGGCGGCAAGCAGGGAAGTTGAAGCAATTAGCGAAAATGCAGAATACAATTTTTAAATTGATAGCTGGGTACAATGTAGATAAACAGTTTAACAACATTTAAAATTAATGCAAATGCAGTTGACAGCTTGGTTAACTAAAAAGAATTGGACAAACAATTTAAATAGTCTAAAATAATGGATAAAAAGCTGAAAGCTATGAAGAGTTGACGAGATTTAAATAAACAGTTTAGCTAGTAAGCTAAATGTCGGCACAGCGGCTAATGCAATGAGCTAGCTAAAGGTTCTAGATAAACAACTTAAACTGTTCGTTTAAACCAGAAAGTTGATTTTTTTTTTTAATAAAGCAATTAGGAAGATTATGTAATTCATAAACAGTTGAAATTAGCAAAAGGTGTGTAGATAAACAGTTGAAGCAGTTAAAATTAATGGATAAACAGTCAAAATAGTTTAAATTGTTTGGTAGGTCAATGTTGCTAATGGACAAACAGCTGAAACTGGTAGCTAGCTAAGATTTATATACAACAGAGTAAACTTTTGTAGCACTTGAAATAATTTGGGAAATGCAGCATATAAACTACTAAAATGCATAATTAATCTAGCTAAGTTACATAAACAGTTTCAGTGTTTAGCTAGAAGTTGCTATAGCAATATAGCACCATTATAATGGTGGAGCAGTAAAAGCGATCAGCTCAGTAAACTTTCTATATTGTTCTATATATCTATTTGTTAGTTAAAAGTAAAAGAAATTGGATTTTTTTTGATAATTAGGTTAAATTAATAATAAGGTAAATGATGAAATGCAAAAATAGTTACAACTGATAGCGAAATTGGCTAAAAGTAATGGATAAAGTGTTGAAATAGCTAGCTAGCTAAACAGTTTAAATTGTTAGGGAGGTAAATGTTGCTAATAGTAACAGTTGAGACAACCAGCTAGCTAAAACTTAAGGATACACAGATTAAACTTGTTAAAGTAGTTAGTTGGCACATTTTTTAACTAATTAGGTAAATATTACACAAACATTTGAGGGATATATCTAATTTGTCTAATTTATTTACACTAAAGATAGAATTTTTTTTCACTGTCAGCTGAAACAATATTTGAAAGACTGTTGACAATGAAGCTGACGTTACTTGAGATCATGTAGCAGGAAACACAACTATGACGAGCTTCTGAACACAGTGAGTATTTTATTATATTTTAGAATAAAGCTGATGCTGAATCAGGATTCTGGTGAAACATGATGTGAATGAAGATGCTAAAACTGGATATTAATAACTGATGGGTTCCCTGAACTGCTATGATTCGACTTCCAAGACAAAAACATGTGAAAAAGTCAGTTCAGGTAAGTGTTGTGTCATGACGTTATTTACACTCCGCTACAGCTCAGTTAGATACAACGGAAAACTAAAACATCCTGCTGATCCACCAGCTATGGCAGGATCTTCATTTGTCTTTATACATGTATACTGTATGTCTTTATGTCGGGAGAATGATTCTGTCAAATGAAGTTTGACTCTGCTGTCATCCTTTAGTTGGGTAATCTGATGTTGAAAGATCAATATGACCAAACTCTGCCCTTCCCCTTGATACCTACATGATCAGGTGTCAGATGGCAGCAATAAGGCTAATGGGATGATTTGGCTCATAGTCAAGTGCAGATGTGTATGCCAGCATGATAGAAGAGACAGAGGAATGAACTCAGACTTGCTAAAGATAGAAGCCATATACATACAAACAAAAATAGGTTGTTTTTCTGATTTTTCCATGCTTGAAATCCATTTTTTTGTACATATTCCATGTTATTACTGAACTTATTTGATTATTAATTAATTTTAAGATTTTTTTTCTGAGCAAATAATCCAAGAAAAATTCTGAAGTTATTTTGGAAATTTAACATTTTTATTTTTATGTTGCGGTGATCCAGTTTCTGAAGAATGGCATTTCAAAATGAATGTGTTAATGAACCTTTTCTGTAAATCAGCTGAAGAGAGTTGACGTGAGTTTTGATGACATCCATCCAGTAGCGTCGCCTGAACTCACACAATATAGTTTGTTTCATCTGTTTAAGCCAAATGTTGTGGTTTTGAAAGTTTTATTAATTAAAAAATACAATTATAAGATACTGTTTGTGCTTTTAGACAGATTTTTTTGGCTAAACTAGGCTAACTGTTTCTCACTGTTTACTTTATTGTCCATGTCTTTATATTCACTATATATGCCGCAGAGTGTCATCAATCTACTCATCTAACACTCTGCAAAAAAAGCTAATAAACATATTTCCAAAAACGTGAAAATATTCCTTTTGCTGCAATCGGCTGGAGGTTGCACTGAATGAAATAAATCATTGCCGCAAAAGTGTTTAAAGACACAGTCGGTTTGCTGAGTTTCCTTCACTCAGGTCTTGTGAGTGTGATTTCGACACATTGCTACAGTCAATAAACAAAGAGGAGTTGTAAAGGAGTGTGTGTGCGTTTGTTTATGTGTGTGTGTGTGTGTGTCTGTCTATCTGTCTGTGTGGTGTGACTGCCGGTAAAAGCGAGACGCCCCCGGCCCGTAAAGCGATCCTGACACCATGAATAATGGAGAGTGCCGTGGCAGAGAGGATAAGTTCTCTGGGCAAGGCTCCTTTTTCACAGGGCTTTCTCCCGTGGGTCACGTGAGTGCTGAGGTGACAGTAATTTTTCATGAGTAGTGTGTGTGCATGTGTGGGTTGTATGGCCATATACTACCCCGGTTACGAGACGTCCAGGCAGCCATCCCTCCCTCCGTCAGCCCTAAGTCAGTGTACCTGCAGCCGTGCACACCCAGGCTGCTCCGAACCCCAGAACCTCTCCGCAGCCAAGGGTCAAATGAATTGTCTTACACTATTAGAAACTCAAGGCAGCACTTACGAAACTAAAGGCCAGGGAAGTGGATGAATAAAAGATGCCGTCGAAACAGAAAAAATCCACAGCTTCAGAAGAAACCGAAGAGGTTGATGACGAAGTGGAGGAAACTGAGCCAAAGTTAAAGGAGACGAGTAATGATGTGACCCATGGGGACACCACAAAAAGAGATAAGAGTCGGAAGAAACACAAGAGCGCCGAGAGCTCTGAGAACCAGGAGGCCCCGGAGAGAGACAAGCCTAAAAGAGAGGGTGAAAAGGTAAAAGAAAAAAAGAAGAAAAAGAAATCAGATGATGATGATGTTGAAGCTGGTGCTGTGATTGAAAGCAACAATGAGGAGGGCGAGCAGAACAATAACGACCCCACGACTAATCCCAAAAAGGAGAAATCAGAGAAGCTCAAAGAGGAAGTGACTGAGGGAGTCAAGGAGGAGAAGAAGAAAAAGAAGAAGAAATCCTCAGTAGAGACCTCAGTGGGAGAGGACGACATGGGGTCCAAGGATAAAAAGTCCAAAGATGGCAAGAAGAAGAAGAAGTCTCACGACGACGACGACGAGGAGCCTTTAATTGAAGAGCAAGAAGAGGAGGAGGACTCAAAGAAAAAGAAAAAGAAGAAGGCAAAGAAGGGATCTGCAGACAGCGATGAAGACAAGAAGAAAAAAGGGAAAAAATCCAAGAATAAACAAGTGGACTATGCTGCGATCTACCAGAACGAGCTGCTGACCTACCACACTGACTCCTCTGATGGATATGAAGATGAGTACTACAAAAAGAAAGGTAAGGATTGTTGTGTAGTCCCATTAGCCTGCTGCATTTGAAGTGGGTAAATCTCAGCCACCGGACCTACAGTATATATACAGTAAGGCTGCTGGGTTGGACCACCTGGTCAAACCTTGAGTCCAGGTTTCCCCCAGTTCTCCTCAGCTCTGAGCAGGAGCACCCCGGGGGAATCCCTCTGTGATTGTCCTGGGTGAAAGCTCAGTTATGTTCCACATGAACGGAGCCAAACAGAGGCTCGGGGGCAGACAGGTGCTGGGTGCCGTCCCAGTCCCAGGGGCTGGAAACGCTGCTGGGGCAGGAGGCAGGGCCGGGAGCCAGGGGAGCTTTCTTAAAGCTGATCAGAGGCTCTCAGACAGAGGGGGACAGGTCCTACAGAGTGGTTTAATAGGGGGAAGGTGATTTATACACTTTTGTTATCAAATATAGCTCAATTTCCAACCTCGTCTAAGATATTAAAGCCAGTTTGGCAATTTAGAGTACAACAGGAAAGATATAAATAGTAAATCCGTTAAAATATTAGCTGCTGATTATAAAGTTAAAATCACTTTAACACAACCTTGAAGCTGAGCTACACAAACACAAAATAGGTTATATCATCATTTGAAAGATCCAAACTCAAAGGTCAAGTGCTACCTTCTCCTGAGCTTTCAGGTGCATTTTCACTCTCGTGGTTACATAAAGATGTCAGGGCATGATGGGTTTCCGCTATTAAACTGAAAGTATGATCTTCCTCTAAGCAACACGATTTTGTTGCCTCAACTGAACAACCCAGAAACCTCAGAATACAAACTCTGGCCTAAGAAATCAGACGACTGCCATAATAGAGCACGTGGAAAGTGCAGCTATCCTCAGGTTTGTTTTCCTGAAGGAAATTTCACACAAACACCTAAAACAATCTGGACAGAATAAAGGTAACGAACTGCTGGCTCTCAGTTATCATGCAGATTATGAAAGGAGCAGTAGTTATTACTGTTTAGCATCAGTAGCACCTGTGTACACGTCTTTGTTCCCTCACTGGGTCACTCAGATCTCTGACACTCGGAGAAGTTTATCTGGGCTCAGTTTTACCAGGCCACTGTCGACCTGATTTTATCAGGTGTCTCTCTTTCTCTTTAATCTGGTTTTAAAAGCGTGGCTCACTCTTAATTAGGTATCCATGTCCTTGCTGAATTGACTTTGGTCAAATTGCTGTTTATCGGCTCTCTGTGTTCTTTCCTCCATTCATGGATGTCTGCTGCATTTGCAATAAAAGACAAAGGTGTTTGCATTTGTCTTTCATTGGGTTTGTGGATTACTTCCAGTTCTGTAAGTTACTCCTTTAGGATGTTTGGGGTGTACCTACAATTATTCTAACATACTGACTCCTTCAGTCCAGCATGACTGCTTTAACCTTCACACAGAACAATCGATACACTTCAAGGACCCACGTCTACAAGGCCTTAAAAACAGAGTCTACTAGGCTCCACTTCTGTTTATCTCTCGTTAGGTTTTTCATTAGTCCAATACCTTGAATTCCACACGATAGTCGGTTGCGTAATCAAGAGATAGTGAAGTTTACATTTACGTACAGTAAAGCAGCAGGACTATAGGTTTACCATTGTACATTCTAAGCCATTAAGTCATCGGTAACAATCCGTGCTGGCTCATCTCCCTCTAAAGATTTAATGTTGTTGTGGAAACTTAAAGAAAGGCTGTCTGACTGGTGTGCCACTTAAAAAGCTCTCTAAAAACATACAGGTTATTTGTTTAGGGAAAGATGAAGAATGTAAAACACATAGTACAGCTCAGGCGGATAGGGATTTAGTCACCCACAAACCACAAATGTCAAATCTCGTGGTGGTGTTAGAAGAAGAGTCAGGAGATACTAAAGACAGTAGGATCTGTTCTATGCACACCATAAATGGCTAAACACATTTTTATTTTTATTTTTTTAAAAATAGGAATCCATCAGCATCTAAACATCATAAACACAAAGTGGGTCAGATTTTACAGGCTGCAGACTTGTTGACCTGTTTACCTTCCATCCGCTCCTTGCCTTGGTCAGATGAAGAGACACTTTTGTGAAATGTGAGAGAGGTTTGGCCAGCGTATCATGCCAGACATGGATTCGCTGCAGATTCGCCGCATTAAATTCCCTGGCAAGTCTGCATGGAAGGAAACATAATGCTCCCTAATGTTTATAGATTATTGGACATTGTCTAAGGATGTGACTTTGTGTTTGTCCTTTTGTTTAACTTGCTATTCTTGAAATGAGTCCCTGTTTGACATTGTGGAATTTATGCAAGCACTCATTACTTTAGAATTATGGTTTATTACATCACAATGTAACTTTTTTATCTCCCTGTCTCTTTTTAATTCCCATTCTCCTTTCTGCTTCAGTGTATGAGGTGGTCACTGTCACCGGTGATGTAAAGGGAGCCGGGACAGATGCTAATGTGTTTGTCACACTTTTTGGAGAGTTTGGCGTCACGCCCAAGGTCCACCTGGCAAGCAAGTGAGTTTAAAAGGGTTTGTGTGGATGTTTTGAATTTATTTGATTAATATATTGCCTTTAACAGTCTAAATTAGCTCTCAATGGCTTACTGTGAGCTGATTATTTTGAACTTAACATGTCATGTTTTGTGTGTTCTTTTTCAGCTAGTGTAATCAGTAAGCTCGTTTGGCCCTTTTTCAGTGGTTAACTTTTAATCTTTTCTATTCTTCTCTGATCCTCCAGCACAGAAAAGAGGTATTTTCTAATCAATCTGCAAAAAGGATGTTTATGATTCTGACCTTGTGTTGAATTGTACTGTGAATGTCGTGCTGTATGAGAGAGAATTCCTGTTCAACATTGAAATGAATCAAGAAAAATTAGACCCATTAAGACGAATCAGTCTTTGATGTCAGAAACATCTTTCTAACAAAGGTTTGGCTGTTAAGCAGGAATCTCTTTTTTTATACAGCTGAATAAAGTGTCGGACTCAGAATATCTGGAGTAAGGAGGAACTATGTGACATGGCCGGTCTTCTTTTCTATTTAGACACAAATGAAAGAAGACCACGATGTCATTTCTGTGGATGATCAAATGACTCTCAGGGGATCTTATCAGCAGCAGGCTCCCTTTATCTCTGCACACATTGATTGACAGATAGGTTACCTGTGCAGCGTATAGGATATACCAACTTATTGTCGGCCACTCTGGACCATGTCACCCACACCTTGTGGTGGTCTCACTTATCCACTTCAGACAGCATCAACATGCCTTGTATTCACTGTCTCCGTGCTGTGTGACTTGCTCAGCTGAGGAAATACCATACATAGATGCTGATGAGTCCTTTTTGTCATTCTAAACGTATTGTACAGTAAGGAGTTTCACCTTACTCCGATATATGTTAGGTCCTGCCTGTATTGTGTCATGGCTCATTACAACTACAACATGATACAGGTAAGGGAGGGTTGCTATGTCTCCAAACGTATTTGCCCGACTGAACAGCCGAGGCAGATTAAGAGTTGCAGCTCTTTGGAAATTCAGTGTAATTATAACACATTCAAATTGCATGAATTCCAAAGTTTGCAGTGGCTTTGCTTTTCGCATAATCAGTGTCTCCCTAACATTCTCTTGCAGGTGATTTAACACTGAGAATGAGGGCATGTATTCATGTGTGTTGGACAGTATTTCATTCTTGGCAGTTTATTGCAGTATATGACACTGTGCACTTTAATTATGTGAGCGTTGGCATTGTCTGTGGGTTGAGTATATGCAGGGAGGGGGGAACAGATGGAGATGTGGGTCAGGCACAAAGGCAGGTATTCTCTGTTAATGGAAAAGAGGGTGTCTGATTCGCAGTCTTTGGCAGAGGGGGTCTGGTGTGCTCACAGGCCCGGTTCGTCTCTGTGAGGGATAGAAGTACATGAGGAGGAGGAGGAGGAGGGAGCGACGAAGAGGCTGAGTCTCAGTAAGGTTTCAGATTATAGCACTGCCATGAGACCACCAGGGTACCCTAAGCTGGATCAATCAGGAGATGCCATTTATTGTTCCAGTGTTCAGCTCCTTTGTCTGGACTGTGTTTTTTCATCCCTATAATCTCTCTTGATTAAACAGAGAGAAATACTCAATGTGTCTTTCCCACAAATTCTGGTGTTTTTTGCATTTACAGAAGTCGGACTGCATTTGAAAAGAATAAGACCGATGTTTTCCGTGTCAAAACACACAACGTGGGCCCTCTGAGCAAAGTCAGGTACTGTATAGTAAATTTGATGGATCAGAAACCTCTACGACTGACTCTACTCTGTGATATATGTGACTATACTGTAAATGCTATAACACCGTTTCTTGTTTCAACAACTGAGTCATATACCAAGAATGCACAGCTACGGCTCACTGATCACATCACAGTTTGTGTTTTGTAATTAAGCAGTGCTCACACAGGCTTACAGAGAGGCTTCCACTGCAACATTTCTCACTTTTTTCCAGCTGTGCTGCTGGCCATCAAAGGATTTCATCCAGTGACAGAAGGTTAAACCCCATCTGTTGTTGGGAGTTAGAGCCTTACTGGAGAGGAAGCAGAGTTACATCACTGCCACCAGACATAACCAGCGAAATGAGGGAGCCAAATGCATTAAAAAAATCAGAGATTGATAAAAGAACAGATGCTGTACTGCATTTTAGAAAGTGAACTCTGGAGATGAAAGAGTTTCTGTTGCTTTTTCCGCAGAATGTTGCCCAGCTTTTGACAAAGCAATGCCAGCACAACCTTTACTGTCCATCTCCTTTCAGAGAGTCATGAGAGGACAGAGTTTTCTCAGCTGGACCTGTTGATATGCAAGCTCAACAGCTGTTCTTCACCATTCTTGACCATACAAATAACAAAGACAAAGCAATTGTGGGTCAAAGACAACTGACCAGTTTTCAAATACTTTCAAGTTCAACCAAGTTTCAATGTGGATAAGAAGTTCTAACAGTGCTACGGGCAAAATTACTACTGAACTCTCATATGAGCTCCATCTACTGTAAAAACAAAACAAAAAACAACTCTGATGTGATTGAAAGCACTAGAAAAAGCCAGCACTGGAAGTCATGAGTAGGGATTATTTAGTCAAACTAGAATTTAACATTTAACAACAATGTATGTAACTGCTTTTCAACAACAGAGTCAATCCAGTTGTTATTAAATCAGACTTACAGTAGGTCAACTTTTCACTCCCTAAGTGTAGTTCAGACTACAAGCCTAGAAGCTGATCATTTGTGACACTGAAGAGCGCAAACGTCTGCTCATGTCCTGAAGTCTATGGGAGCCTGTCGCACTTGATTTGTATACATTGAACATGTCAGCTAATCATAAACCAAGTACATCATTAATTTTGTTTTTGTACCCCATCTTTTGCAGTCTCCTTGACATTTCTTATATGTGCGAGCTGCAATGCTCGCTGAAAATACTCTACCACTGATGAAATTAAACAATAAAAATACTTGTACATCTGATGTGACAAGCTCATTTGAGATTACCTGCAGGGTGAATTCATGTCAGACTTTTTACTCTCTGTTTATCTCCCCAGGATTGAGCACGACAACACAGGCATGAACGCCAGCTGGTTCTTGGACAGGGTTGTGGTGACCGACATGAACCGGCCCCATCTGCGCTTCTATTTCGCCTGCAACAACTGGCTGAGTCGGGAGGAGGCTGACAACCTGTTTGTCAGGGACCTGCTGGGCAGCATGAACCCCATGGACGTCCCCAAATGTAGGTCACTCCAGGACAAACACTTAAGCGAAACACAAAGGTTAACAAAGGTTAAAAATAAAATAACAAATGACTAACGACCCAAATACCTCCTTCACATTTCAGACACAACCTCTAAGATTAAAAATTGTAGTAATGCAATGTCCAGAAGGCCAGTTATACATACGTATACCTTCATAGCTCACAACTAACCAGACAGATCTCATGTTCTAATAATGTCTCCTTGTCTTCATAGAATAAATTTGTTACTTATAGTAAATAATTGATTGTTTTCTAAATAAAAAATGCAAGTCATGTTCAATAATTTTGCAATCCTCTGTTAAGTAAATGATTTGATCCAAGTAGAAACTTATATATTAAAATACAGCCATCACGAATGAGCCGAAGTCTATTTTTTAACAAAGTCAACAGTGTTCGCACTATGTGTCTGGCCACTTGTACACAACAGTGTTTGATAGCCTGCAGATCGTCCTACTGTTTCAGGTTGTAATTGAACTCCATTAGAGTGTAATCCTCAGGTAAACCTGCCTATGTGTCCTCTGTTGCAATGTGATATAACATCCTAGCGCCTGCAGTCAATCAAGCAGAGAAGTGGTGAGGCCAAGGCTCAGGTAAAGATGGCAGGACACTGTGCTTTAGGGGAGTGTTCAGAGCAATATGAAGACGTGAACGCACACAGACACACACTGGTATGAATATTTAACATGAAAACCATCTCAGGGAGGATTAGCAAGGAACCTTCCAAATGGCATTAAACAGATCCATCTAATTATGTAGTGCAATCAACCTTTATACTAACCGGTTAGTTTTTATAATGTGCTATTTATATAAATTACATGTTCCATGTTTTGCAGTGAATAAATACATTGTGAGTGTGTTCACTGCTGACATGAAGGGAAGTGGAACCGATGCTGATGTCTTTCTGAATATCTTTGGAGAAAATGGTGACACAGGTAAGATGGTAAAAAAAAAAAGTTTGTCATTATTGATTGTTTGGTTGATGTACGAAATAATGTATCATCATATAATGTTTAAAAAAATGGTTACCACAGATTCAAAAGATATCAAATTTACAATGACATAAACAGAAAACAGATAAATTCTCACGTTTATGAAGCTGAAACCACCAATGTTTTTGCTTGATAAATGCAATAGTTGATGATTAAGTTTCACTTGATCAAATAAACCACAAGCAGCTCAGTACTTTTTACAGCTGTTCCCATTAAGCCATGTTCACTGATAACAACTGAAGCCATGTCCTCACTGTAACTTCAATGAGCGGTTCTCATACCAGAATGGTTTGTTTATTATGAAAGGAGAGAGACGACTGGACAGCGACAAAGACAACTTTGAACGTGGGTCAGAGGACAAGTTTACAGTAGAGGCTCCCAACCTGGGGAGGCTGAGAAAAATCACCATCGGCCACAACAACAGGGGTTCATCAGCTGGATGGTTTCTAGACAAGGCATGTACAAGCAGCGCCTACATGTGTAACCTTTACAAATGTATATTAAAACACTTGCGATAGTGTCCAGAATTTCCTTCACGATTAATAAAGTGCTGTCTTATCTTCTAATGTTTCTCCACAGGTGGTAATAGATGACATGGGGAATAAAGAAGTATACGAGTTCCCAGTGAATCGCTGGTTTGCCATGGACGAATGTGATGGCAAAATCCAGAGAGATGTGTTGGTTGGATCCATGCAGCCAATGGGTGAGAACAAAACAAACTGAAGATATAGCTGAAATTGCAAATGTAATGTAAAATAATGTACATAATCTTCAATTTTTCCAAAGAGAAAACTGCTTTTGAACTTATATGTATGCTGTGCTCCAAGCCTCTGGAGGGTGTTTCCCATGGAGACAGATGACTGACATTGAACATTTCGATGTGCAACAGACTGTAGAATTCCACGGCCTTGTATAACCTGTGTCAGCTTTTTGTATTCCCATGTAGTGCTGATTTATTTACAACAGTGAAACTGTAGCAGCAACCCAAAATGTATGTCTGCTTTAGAATACAAATGTAAGGCTCACTGTCACTGTAGAAAACACTGGGCTCAGATGTTGCTGGAGCTCAATTAAATTAGTTGATAATGCATCCATATGCATGGAAATGATGTGTAATGATAGCGGACATTTAATGGGTTGATAACGTCTGAATTGGGTGCACCAAGAAAGAGAAATAACACTTAAAATTCTAATATACTAATATCATAAACCTGCAATCGTCACCCAAATCAGCAGCTCCCATTGGGCCCATATAGCTTTATAGCAAGTTTTAGCTCATTGTTTAGCCGTTTATCGTTGTTTTTGACTCTTAAATCTCTTGTACACTACTTGCTAAGCACTAAATGGCAGATAAACAGAGTTAGCGATTGGTAGATGTAATATAGCATCTAGTAGTTAAAGATTCGAATATTTCCCTCAGAAATTGGTAGAGACCATCTACAGCTTAAGGAGCATGGATAAATTAACTTACAGTTAAATATGTTTTTGCTAATAAGTACACTGTGTGAACTTATAATGTCAAAGTCAAGACCGAAAACATGTTACTGCAAGTTTAATAAACAGATGAAGGCAATAATAATACAACAATGGTTTCAAAATCAGTGTATAATTGGGAATGTTTTGTGTATTGTTCTGCATCTACTTAGGTATCGTTTACAATGTGCAAGTCATGACTGGAAATGTGAGAGGTGCGGGGACCAACTCTAAAATCCACATGGTCATGCATGGCGCCAAGGGCTTAAAAAACAGTGGCAAAGTTTTCCTTGAGGGCGGTGCTTTCGAGCGTGGTCTCATCGACATTTTCAACGTGGAGATCTGTGAGCTGATCAGCCCACTCAGCAGAGTCACCATCGGGCACGACAATGGTGCCGTCGGCGCCGGATGGTACTGCGAGAAGGTACAGCACGTTTCCTATTGGTTACAGTCTGACTCTCAGAGTGTCATTCATCCTCCGAGCCTCCATTTCCCTTCCAGGTGGTGATATACTGTCCGTTCACGGGCATTGAGCAGACATTTCCGTGTGGGATGTGGTTGGATGAGGACGAGGGGGACGGACTGATTGAGAGGGAGCTGTATGAGATGGTCTCTCTTAGGCAGAAAAAACAGAAAAGTGAGTGTCCTTTACGCGATGAAAGAACAGGATATCACACACAATCATCATTTAAATCACTTTTATTTATTCAAGCATTCTATGAATCTGAGATTAAGATGAATAGCACACAGCAGCATCCAAAAATATAGGAAGTACAAGAAGAGCAGTATCACACCTACTCGTTTTTACTTCCAGAGTACCCATGGTCCCTGTGGATTTGGACATCAGATGTGAAGGGAGCCGGCACGGATGCCCAGGTGTTTCTGCAGATCTATGGCGAGAGGGGCAAGTCGGATGAGGTCAAACTGGAAAACAACTCAGACAGTTTTGAACAGGGGCAGCTTGATAAATTCATTGTAAGCCTCTGATCATCTGCTCGATTGAGTTCATAACAGCTTGTTTCACTGTAAATGTTCCACACTAGGATCCAAAGGAGTCTTTTTTTCAAGTATTTATTGTCATTTTACATTTCTGGGATCCCCGTAGGTTGAGATGCCCGACATAGGAAAACTGCTGAAACTGCGGATCTGGCACGAGAAGAGGCATCCATTTGCTGGCTGGCATTTAGCGAAGGTAAAACTCTTGCTCTGCCTGTCTGATATGTCAGTGAGAGCTCTTAATTCTGTTGTACAATGTCAGCTCTGGGCAGTGAGTTAAGCTGTGATTTAGAACTTAATCTTGCACCTGAGACTGTGAGTAAATCATGTTGCAGAAGCCCAGCTTTCTCACTGTGGAAGGCAATGCTGGTGGATCAGTTGACCACATTGGTCCAGATAGAAATGTCTGAACAATTATTAAAAGGTCTGACTTTAGTTTGAACAGATATTAATGCTGCCCAAAGGATGAATTCTAAGGATCTCTGATTATTCCTTGACTTTCTCTTTACTGTCATTAGCATTTGTCATTTTGAATGAAACCTCTCAGCATTTACATGATGTTCAATCCTATCTTTTCCTTTCCCAGTATTTGTATAGCTGCATAACTAATGACATCTCCACCAGCCTCAACTGTGCTAATCAGCACGTAATTACACTAAACTAAGATAGTTATCATAGTAAACATTATGAATTTTAGCTTCACAGTCCTGCTAGCACAGCTGAAAACTCTTGTTGTCTTGGAAAATTCATATTAATGACATTGCTGGAGTCTTATGTGTGTGAGGTTGAGCTCATAGACCACAGTTGTAAATAAAGATACATGTGATTGAGGCGACTGTGACTTTCTTCAGGTAACTTTGCTCAAGACCCTCACCATGGAGAAATATTCTTTTGAATGTGGCCGTTGGCTGGACATCAATGAAGATGACAATGAGATTGTCAGAGAGCTTCCAGCTACAAGCACAGTCATTGAAGAGCCGCTGCCTTGTAAGAAACTCATTGAACACATACTGAACATAACTTTTTGATTCATAGTCAACAGTGTCAAGTTGTCTTTCAAAGATTAGGACCGTGTATGAGCTCTGAGTTGATGCTGCTTTATATATCATGAGCCCTCTGTTTCCTTCTTCAGTGATAAAGTATCGTGTCACCATCTGCACTGGTAACGTCAGCGGCAGTGGCACCGACGCCAGCGTCTTCCTCAATATTATCGGTGACCTGGGTGACACAGGAGAGCGACTCATGTTTATGAGCAAAAACAACGTCAACAAATTTGAAAAGGGAAACGTGAGTGAAATATTAAGTAGAAATTAGCACAGAAATAGATACGTATTGTTTAGAAAGTGTACTGCAAGCATCTTTACACAACCGTCTCTCTGTCTTCCCTCAGCATGATGAGTTTCTCATTGAGTCAGTGTCCTTGGGCCAGGTGCGCAGGGTCCGCGTAGGCCACGACGGCCGCGGTGGAGGCTGCGGTTGGTTCCTTGACAAGGTGATGGTCAGAGAGGAGGGTCAGCCGGAGTCTGCAGCCACTGAATTCCCCTGTTTCAGGCAAGGCTATGCTTTACACATGACACAAAGTAGTAGTTTGACATTTGTGGAAACAAGTTTATTTACTTTCCTTTCAAGAGTTAGGTGAGAAGATGAGTTCCACTACATAAGTATGAAGTTTAAGCCACTTAGCTGAGTTTAGGATTAACAGTGGAAGCAGAGAGAAACAGCTAGCCTGGCTCTAAAGGTAAAAAATGTACATACCATCACCTCCAAAGCCCTCTACTCACGTTATATAAGTCAGCATGTGAAAATGCCAAGTTGGAGATTTGACTATTTATTGGAATAAACTCATCTGGTTGAAAATTTTAAACCACTCAAAACTGTATTAACCCTCAAAACCCCAGGCAGTTTCAAGATGCTTTTAGCTCCAGTCCTATTTCTACTCACTGTGGACTCTCACAATGTGTTTTTTCACACCTCTATGGAAACAGCACAACCATGACTAGAAAAATTAGAAAACTAAAAAGTTACATTTTTGCAGTCCAGCATTGTACAAATCATGAATGACTGATTAGTCATGCTGAGAAGCAAAGATTTTTGTTGTTGTTGTTTTTTTACAGTATCTGGTTGGAGCATATGAAAATGATTTGATGAACTCTCACGACTTCCAAGCTTAGATTTGGTTCATTTTCCTGATGGAACTGTGAATGACACATGATGTGTGCAAGAACTGTTGAAAAGTTGAAAATGTGGCAATCCCTTCTGTTTTTATAATTTTATGACCTGATGAATGGTATAATTTTGGCAATTTCAGCATTTTATTTTTGCACACAGTAATTTCACAGATGAGATGTTTTTGTTTTTTATTATTGCGAGTAGACACAGTGCTGAAGCTTGGACAGACCCAGGATAGTGTTTCCGGCCTTTATGCTAAGCTCATAATTAGTGTACAGGCATAAGTGCAGTATTGATCTTCTCATCTCGCTCTAAGCAAGGAAAAAAACAAGTGTATTTTCCAAAATGTCTAGCTAGTCCTTTAAAGGAGTAACTGTTTTCTGTATTTCATGTTGAGAAGTTACATATAATTATAATTATACATAATTATTTCTCTCAAATTGTTTGGTTTCAAAGCCACTGATCACATGCCAGATGGACAAAATAGTCCCAACAGTTCTAAAACCCTCTTAAGTGATGTAAATTGGCCGCGCTTATGTCCACTAGTTCTCCAATGGCATGTGTTTAAGTAGTTAGGCAGCTGATGGATGAGTTTGCCATTACAAATGGACACTAAATGCACGCGGCCAGCCAGTTCTCTCCCCGTGTAACTGGAGCCAAACCACAAGGCTGAGGTGCAGTGTTACTTCTGGAAGAGTCTCTTCCTGTCTGTCCATCTTGTTGATAGAGAACAGTTTGGTAGCATCCAATGCAGAAACAGTGTAGAATAGGTTGTTCTTGTTTTGTTGTTTTAGAGTTTTGTGTTGCTTACACTGCTCATGTCATTGTTGTTTTGTTTTGGGTTTTTTTTAGGCTTATTGTGACCCCAGTTCTTTGCTACGGTGAATTATCTTAGGACATTCGTGTTTTTCAATTAAAGTTTTTGCTTTAGATGAATACTTAAACCTGTCAAATGTAATTTTTAAAATGCATAGACCTGGTTAAAGTATTTAATTTAGTATATGTTTGGATATCAGTTATTGTCTTCTGTTCAGTAAATGTGTGGCAGCTTCTTGAGCGTTTCTGTCAATCCAGTGACCCTACTGTGGTTGTAAAGTTATAAATAGACAAAAAATATTTAATCTTCTTACTGCATATTTCTATTCCCAGGGAGGTTTAAGGGATGGAAGGTTTGACCTCATTCCGTGTTTATTGCTATAGAAACATTATTGTCAATTTCCATTGTGTTTATCTTCAGATGGTTGGACCGAAATGAGGATGACGGACAGATTGTCCGCGAGTTAGTTCCAGCTGGAGATGGCCTGCGTCTCTTCAGTGAGTGCATGAAGAACACATTCTACCTATTGTTCATCATGCATATTTAAAAGCCCCTAATTTTGCTCTTTATTAGATGTCAACTACCACATAGCAATCAAGACAGGCAGCGTGAATGGGGCCAGCTCCGACTCCAGGGTGTTTGTCAAGCTGTATGGGGAAAAGTGTGATACTGACAAGGTGATACTAGCAGTATCTGACAATGACCTCAGGAATTACTTTGAGACAGGACGCACTGACATCTTTATATTCGAAACCTTTGATGTCGGAAAGGTAAGTTCTTCAGACACACAGTATGAACCTAACAGAAAACAGAGGTTCAGACATTCAAGTGTGTATCCTGTGTTGTCAGATCAACCGTCTTCTGATCGGTCACACCAATGAAGGCCTGCGGGCTGGATGGTTCCTGGACAGTGTGCAGATCTCTGTGCCGGTTCATGGGATGCAGTACATGTTCCCGAGCGACCGCTGGCTGTGCAAAGACGAGGCTGATGGAAAAGTGGAGGTGGAAATCTATCCCAGTGAGGTCTTGGAAATCGAACAATGTAAATGAGAAAAAACATGAAAAGTTCTGTAGGAATGAATCATTTTATACACAGTAGAAGTATAGACTGAACTATGTTTCTCTTTACTACAGTCTTTGTCATAATGCTCCCATGCCTTCTCTATAACAGTGATCAACTATGAAGTAACAGTGGTCACAGGTGATGTGCGTGCAGGTGGGACCAATGCCAATGTTTTCTGTCAGATCTATGGAGATGAAGGAAAAACTGAAGTCCTCTCTCTAAAAAGTCGCTCCAACAATTTCGAACGCGGCACCACGGAAATCTTCAAGGTCTGTATTTAACCTTGTGTCATCTTAACATCTGTTGGACACTGGAAGTTCCTGGTTTGACTGCTGTTTCCTACAACCCAGATTGAAGCTTTGGATGTTGGCAAGATCTATAAGATACGTATCTACCATGATGGGAAAGGTGTCGGAGATGGCTGGTTCCTGGAGACAGTGGACATCAAGCGCCTGACCATGGCCATGGTGCAGGTTGAGGTAAAGAAGGAGGAGACAACCAAGAAAGACAAGAAGAAGGACAAGAAAAAGAAGAAGAAAGACGAAGAGGAGGAAGTGGAGATAATTGAGAAGCTGCAGGAAGTGGTGGAGACATTCACCTTCCCTTGTAACCGCTGGCTAGCCAGGGACGAGGAGGACGGGGAGATCGTGGTTGAGTTGCTGACTGAAGACAATGAAGAGCTGGAGCGTAAGTAGAGCATGAATGTAAAGTGCTGACCCACTGATATCCACCTCCAAAGGCTGCAATGCAGTGTTCTAATTGTGACATTCTCTGTTAAATTCGGCAAATGTCATCCTGTGAATTACTATAATGTCACTGATGATTCACTGTGTTTTCCTGCCAGTGAACTCATATGAGGTTCATGTGTTCACTGGGACAATGTTTGGGGCGGGGACCGATGCCAACGTGTACGTCAACGTCTATGGAGAGACTGGCGACACGGGGGAGAGACGACTCAGGAAATCCAACAACCTCAACAAATTTGAGAAAGGAAAGGTAAACTTAGTGAAGCTGAAGCTCAGTGCTGTATGTGGTAATTAGAGTGTTAATGTAGACTTCTCTGTGAAACAAAAATAGTTTGGTCATTTGGGAAAGTTGTACGTTCACTGTCAACTTATCTTAGCATGAACACTGTAAACAGATGAAACAGTAAACCTGGTTCTGTCCAAACGTTAAAATCTGCCTCCTAGCACCTCTTACGCTACCTGAGTAACATATTATATCTTGTTTGTTTATTCTATTCAAAAACCACGATGTTAAAATGGCAACTTGTGTTTTTATTTTGCTACTCTGATTATGAATGATGACATCTTCTTCAGGAAGCCACTGTGTTGCACCAGTGGGCTACCTGCAATTTTCATGTTGGGTTTTGCTTGGTTTAAACTACCAAGCGTAGTTACTAGTTAGCTTTAGGAGCCTTATGGAGCAATTTACAGAGTCTATATAACGTACGAGACATGCTACATCTTCTCTTCATGACTCTTAAACATCAACAAGAACCATGTTGTTACCTCCATTTCTTTGCAGAGGCTTTATTCTTTCACTGTTTATAATGTATTGTCAAGCTTGTTATCACTGATCGTGTTTTACTGGCTAAGCCGCTTGTCAAACAAATGTTGGATCTCAGGTTGGTTAAATGAAGATCAAATGAATAAATAATGAGGTTCTCATGAACTGCTAACCTGTGACTGTGACATTTCTTGACCCTTTGCCACTGGTTTGTTCTTATGTGACCCAGGAGGACATTTTTAACCTCACAGCAGTCGACCTGGGGATCCTGAAGAAGCTGAGGATCCGACATGACAACAGTCAGGCCAGCGCCGGCTGGTTTTTGGACAGAGTGGAGATTGTGGACAACAAAGATGACACCACGTAAGTCATGACGACGTTAGGGAGACAGCAGTGATTCATTGGGAATTTAATTCAATTTAACTGCATTTTAACCTGATCTTTTGTATAGTTTCACTGATTATTTATAAAAAGTAATTATTGATCATTTATTTTATAGAAATTATTTAGACTTTATTGTGTGATGCCAAACCAGTGACACAGGCTTCACAGAAGCTTCATCCCACAGAGCAGACAGAAGCTTTGCACAGAAAATGTCTGAAGAGCTCCACTGTGTGGTGTGCGATGGTACTCAGGGACTCAGGAACATTTGCCAATCCTACATAGAGATTCTTATTATTCTAACATCCCATTGTACACTGTACACAGCATTCATGTGCTATATATTGTGCTTTAGGTACTTTTTTCCTTGTAAACGCTGGCTGGCTATTGATGAAGATGATGGACAGCTTGCCAGGGAGCTGGTTCCTGTGGACGAGGCCTTCATGAAGAAGGGGGATGATGATGAAGAAGACTCTGATGCTACACTGGGTCTGGAACAGAAAGGTGAGAGCCCTGAGAAACAGAGTGACCTTTTTAAATACATTAATTATTAAGGATAATAATCTGAAAAATAATCCAAAGACTAATTAATTCTCCTGTCTTTCTATTTACAGCCATGTCAACAACATACACATTAAGGCTAAAAACTGGTGACAAGAAGTACGCAGGAACAGATGCTAATGTTTTTATGATCCTGTACGGCACCAAGGATGACACAGGTAATACTTTTGACCACTATGCTGCAATATGTTTCTCTTTATGTGAATTTAAATCATTAAATTACTCTCTATTGTGCACATCCACAGGGATAATTAACCTCAAGGCTTCAAAGACTCATAAAAACAAGTTTGAGCGGGGTATGATCGATGAGTTTACTGTGGAAGCTGTGGACATTGGACCCCTGAAAAAGCTGCGTGTTGGACATGACAACCGTGGTACATTAGGACAATCGCCTGCCTGTGTAGTGAATAGTACAAAATTACTCAGAATACATCTTCATGTGTGATCACAGTCATTTCTGTTGATGTTTAAGGAGGAGGATCAGCAGGCTGGTTCCTTGACTGGGTGGAGATCGATGCCCAATCTCTGGGACAGAAACTGCGCTTCCCCTGCGGCCGTTGGTTGGATAAAGGAGAAGATGATGGAGCCATCGTTAGGGACCTTTTCCCTAACTCCCTTCAGACTGAGTTTTACACGCCATGTAAGTCACAGTGTTGCTGCAATGTGTTCTACTTCAAGCTTTCTATTTTGTCACTTGATGCACTTCATTGATAATGTTTTTTATTTTTGTATTTGTAGTTGTTCCTTATGAGATCAAAATCTTCACGAGCGACGTGTTTGCAGCCGGCACAGATGCAGATGTCTCCATCGTCCTTTACGGACGAGATGCAGTTTGCACCCAACAGAAAAGTCTGTGTGTCAACAAGAGGGAGAGGAGAATGTACTTTGAGAGAGGAGCGGAGGACATGTTTATTGTTGAGGTACAAAACCATTGTGAAGTCATAAATAGAAGAGGTGCATTTATCAACAGCAAAGTTATGAAAGTGTTTTTGCAATTACAGTATTGAATGTGAACCACTTGGTGAGATCAGCATTGCTTTCTACTTTCTGTGCAGCTAGAAGATGTGGGGGACGTAATAGAGAAGATCCGTATCGCCCATGACAACCGTGGGGTCAACCCAGGCTGGCATCTGGACAGAGTGGAGATCAGACGTCTGCTCAGGAAGGGAAAGGTACCATCAAGAAGGACAGACGCAGTGGTGGAGGATCTCTAACTCAAACAAAACATCTTAAAATCGCTTTCAGTTCCGAAAAAAATAAGTTTAATCCTATTATATTGGTTATTACTATTACTGATGCATCAACATGTAAGGAGCATTAAACAGTAGGCTGAGATGGAGCTGACTTTAACTGCTTTATTTGGCGTTGGTGCTTTGATCTATCACAGTGATTGAAATTGCAGCTGATGTTGTGTTTTGTGTGAAAACTCTTAATCTGTGCTGTAACTTGGAACTTGGGTTATCAAATAGATGCAACCCCTATATTGCACTGGAATTGAAGGTTAAAGATTTAAGAAAAAAGTTAAATATACACTCATATGGAATAATATTACTCAAGAACAGTTGTATGAGTTAATATTAAATTACATTTTCCCACTGGATAGATGATGGACATCATTGTATAAACACTGTCATTAAATAAACCCACAGACTGATCCCCTTACCTCTGAAGTCATGCTTCAAATTCCTAATAGTTGATGTAAAAAACAAAACAAAAAACACTACCATTTGTCTTTGCCAGCATCTTCTCACTCACATATTCTGGCAACAGAACAACTCTATTTTTGGTCAGTAGGTGGAGATGTTCTCTTCACAGATAAATGAGAGAGCTCCACCACACTGGCTTCATTTTGTATCTCACAAACCAAGTCAAGGCCCAGAAAAAAGATTGTGTTCGCTGTTCAAAGACACAAACACTCATTGCACATTAAATCATATGATTAAACTGTCTCTTTTATTGTAGGGTTCAGAGACAATCATCTTCCCTTGTGAGTGCTGGCTCGCCAAGTCAGAGGATGATGGAGAAACAGTGAGAGAGCTGGTGCCCTCCGATATCATCACTGAGAAACTTTCACGAGATGGAAGTCTGAAAGTGACTGAAGTCGAGGTGGAAGATGCCCTAGAGAGTACGTTGACTGCAATATTATACACACCAACGATCAGAAGCATCTGCAATCTCTGTCTCCTCGCTGTGTCCTGCCTCTTCTTGGCCTTTCTTAGCATTAGTTTAGAAACTCGAGACAGTTTTTCCTTTGGGTTCTCTATATCCCTGAATGAGTCTCCGTTATGACAGCAGCATCATACAGCGATAGAAAATTGCTTTCTTCTCACTCTATTTTCTGGTAATTGCCTCAAACCGATCCCCTGTGTGCTTGTCTGTGATCATCGTCCCCACTACAGCTCACACATACAAAGTGTCAGTGATGACAGGTGACGTGTACGGAGCCGGCACCGACGCTAACGTCTTCCTCACAATTTACGGGGACCTGGGGGACACCGGGGAAAGAAAGCTGAGCAAGTCGGAGACAAACAGCAACAAGTTTGAACGAGGAGCTGTAAGAAAGCAGATATTTTGTGGCCATTTTTTCTCCCCTGTTGTCTACTTTTCTCTCCTACATTGTTTGAAGTGAAGACAGACGAGCAATCCTGTCATGAAAAATTGCACCAAATTACAGCAAATACATCTTACAAAAAGTAGAATCGTGCTGATGTTATTGCCTCAATGTTTTTCTTCCAGGTAGATAAATTCACTATGGAGGCCGTTGACCTCGGTCAGGTTTTCAAGATAAAAATCCGCCATGATAACAGTATGGTGAGTCCCGACTGGTACTTGGACCAGGTGGAGGTGGTCGATGTTGATACAGAGGAGGTCTTCCTCTTTTTATGTGAACGCTGGCTCTCCAGGAAGAGGGAGGACAGACGCATCAAGAGAGCCTTCTATGTCAAGGTAAAAGACATAAGAAGTGTCAAAGGGAGTGCATTTAAATCACATGTACAAATGGTAAAAGACATTAAATGACAAAAGATCTTAAAGCACAAGCAAAAAGAAGATAAAAAGTAGTGAACAACTTAGAAAATAAAAGGGATGCAGCAATTAAGGGTCTCATAACCAGTTTACCTCTATAATATCTACTTCAGAATCAGAATCCTGACTGCCCAAAACATCAACATGAACAGAAATCTTGCTAAAACACGGAGCTGTTAAAGTCCAGGGATTTATAAATTAATTTAAAAGGTGCCCCACACACATTTTAAACAGACTACAACACCAAACAAAAGACACAAAAGAGAACAGCAGAGTAAATATGTGTGTTGACTCAACGGGGATAACGTTAAATGAGGAAAGTTGATCTACTGGAGAACAAATATTTGAAAGCATTAGAGAACGCCTGAGAGCCTCACTGCATCATGTACCATTATATTCTGAATAGTCACCTGGTGCCTGGATGTTTTGTGTTCCATCCTTCCTTGTTTCACAAAAATGAAGACATTTCCACCTTAAAATGATGCAGAAAAGGCACAAATTGGTGCAAAGAAAATGATCAGAATGCTGGAAATGAAGTATCCTTTGAGAGGTCTCCCAAAATCCTCACTCGATAGGAGATGATGTATTGTCTTTAGTTGTGCAATTTTCTCAACAAATTAAAAGCTACAGCTGATGGTGGCACAAGATGGAAAGTCAGTAGATCACCAAAGTTAGCACCATTCATCCTCTGTGCACCATTAACATCTGTATTAAATTTCATGGCTGTCAATCAGATAAATGTTTAGATATTCAGTCTGGTTTTAAAGTGATGAACCAGCTGACAACATCCTTAGAATAACATACAGGCCTTACACTGAAGTGAACTCTTTTCTGAAAAAAATAGCCCTTATGGGAAAAACTGTTGATAGCAGGGTCTATAGATCATTTCTACTTAGCAGGATCTCGTTTGTGGATAAGCAAATTTTCATTCAGGTTTTTAACGCTCTGAAGTGACCAATCACCTCCTTTTATTGGGACTTCAGAAATTATAAAAGGAAAACTTCAGCAAATGAAGCTGTTACTATCCACCTGGTCAACACCACGACAAGTACATGTTTATGTAATTTGGGTGACATGACCCTTTAAGTGCAGTTAGATCGCACAGTGTTTTATCACGTACACTGCAGCAATAGAAATGAATGGTAATAAATATTTATTGCACTGAATGTCAAGGCCCACATGTGTTGGTTTGTTTGTCTGCATCACATAACGCGTATGTTGTGCTTTTCTCAGGGTTATGAAGGAGTTAGAGAGGGCCTGAACAGTAAAAAGAAGAACTCAGCTCTGACACTGAAGAGCGTTGACAGCAACATGAATAAAAAGAGCAAGAAGAAGAAGGAGGAAGAAATTGAGCTCCCGAGTAAGAGAAAAACTGGGTCTTTAGCATGTCTGATTCATTCACCTCTTGGTGAGGTGCTCACATAAATGACTTGTGCTCTTCATGTGCAGTCATACCGTACCACATCACCATCTGCACTGGACTGGAGCGGGATGCGAGCACTACCAGCAGGGCTTATGTGATCATTATCGGGGCCAGTCACACCCAGACAGAGAGGCTGTGGCTGGACCTGCCAGACGAGAAGAAGGGCTTTGAGGCCGGCTCTCTGGAGAACTTTGAGTCCCACGGTTCGGATGTGGGGGAGATCAAAAAGGTCGAGGTGAGCGAGGGGCGACGCTTTTAGATTTTCAGCGAGGACCGCGCGCTCTCATGCATGCACACATACACTTGGGCACACAGAAAAATACACCCACATTGCTTGAAGTGATTGTTTCTCTCCTTCCCTGCAGCTCGGCCATGATGGGGCCACTCCGGAGAGCTGCTGGCTGGTTGATGAGCTGTCTGTTGCTGTGCCAACCAAAGGGGTCAAATATATCTTTGCTTGCAAGTGCTGGCTGGCCAAAGATCGAGGAGATGGGCTGACTGCTAGAGTATTCAATGTGCTGGATGCAGAGGCCATTTCTATCTCCCAGAAGGTATGTAAATGTGGACAAATTAACGCGAGCGCAGCCATATGGCAGATAAAATGCATCACAGCTAGATTAAAGTACCACAAATGACAAACGATAATGAACAACTGCCATAAAGTGAACCTGTGGAGCAATCTACATTATGAAGAATATTGTGCCTAAATAGAAACACTATGCAATGACAAATGATCTTTTAACTGTCATCCCTCTGATCACGATCACTCTGATTTATACCTTTAAATGGTAAATCTCCTGATACAAAGTTGAAATGTAAAGGTGTTTGATGAAATCTAAATGTATTGCCACGAGTACTCAAAGCCAAAATCACAACATTATTAATGTCAACAAAAAAACAGAACTGAAGTTTGATTTATTGGTGAATTCTATCTTCAAGAAATTAGGGATTTTTATGAAAATGAGCATTTCTAAGGGTGGCAGATTTTGAGAATGTTTCTGACACCACTGTATAGGGTTATGTTTATAAATCTGTGTGGTCCTTTTATTTTGGACAGCTCTTTAATATAATGAGTGAAAGTATGACAGTAATATGTAAAGTAAGCTTTTTAATGATGTTTATCAATCCAGAGATATGAGAGGTGTTAGCACATCAAATTACTACCTTACAATCATATTGATTTGCATTTGCATAGTCCTGCCTGTTTTTTAACTCTGTAAAAGCGTCTTTCCTAAACATCATGTGCTTTTGTTTTATTAATGATTGCAGCATTGCTATTAGCCGTATATTTGCTAAATGTGTAGCTGCAAGCTAAACTCGCATTCGTGAGATGGTTGTGGAGAGTAACATGGAACAAGTGAATCTTTTCTAGGTTATTTACGAGGTGACGGTGGTGACAGGAGACGTGCAGAATGCAGGAACAGACACGTTGATCTTCATGTCTGTGTTTGGGGCCAACGGCAGCACAGAGGAGATGCTGCTGCAGAAGAATGAGGACAGGTAGCCAAACATTTTCTATTTCTGTTCCCATATTTCCACTCAACTGTGAAAAAGAGAGGATTTAATTATACTTTCGATTGTAAACTCTGTGCTGTTTGTGTGGTGAACAACAGGTTCGAACGTGGTCAGGAAGACACTTTCAACATGGAGATCGATGACATTGCCCCCCTGAGGAAAATGAGGCTTCGTATTGACGGCTCCGGGAGTCGACCTGACTGGTTTCTAGACAAGGTCGGTTCACTTCAAACTAGCTTCAACACACAGAGACAAATACGTTGATGAGATGTTTTCATGGTACAAACGGTAAAGAATTACAGCGAAGGAAACTGCTGAACAGGGTCAGTGCTATGGAATCAGTCGATCACACACGATTTCTTTATTCTTCTCAAAGGAGGGCTAATTGGTCGTAAAGAAGAAACCGCAGATCTCATCTATAAAAGATAAAACCAGGAGCATGAAAAGCAGAACAGTAATTGCTATCTTCTTCCAAAATCAATAGAACAAAGCAGTCACAGGTTTTGTGTTTTTTATCCTGGCACTGTATGCTGTAGGTCACAGGATCATTCAATCTATTATATCACACAGACACACATCCATCTCTGCCTGCAGCAGAATAGTCAATGATTCACCCACCCACAAAAACACAATCACGCACACACACACTCACACACATGTGCGCACACAGCGGGGCCCAGAACTCCTGGAGTGAGCATATTGACCCATTTTATTCACCATGCTGTTGTTGCTTGGATTACAGACACACACACGCACACTCTTACAGCACACACATGCACACAGTCAAACAGGTTCAGAATGAGCACCGTGATTCAGTATTTGGCGTATTGTATCTGAGAGAAAACATTTCATTTTAGGCCTTAAGTGTTTCATATCTATCGTATATTCCTGCAATATGATCAACTGCATTAACACAGCATACAGAAAATGGTTTTCTCTTGAAATTACCCTGCGTGAGCAACATCACTGCCCACCTACAAATTCAGTCTGAAGTCTCGGGCAGAGAGCTGTGATGAAATGAAACACATCTCCTATGCAAATGTCTTCTCTGGTAAAGGCACCATGCCTGCAGAGCAGCAGAGCAGTCAGGAACAATACCGAGCCCTGTCCGTCCGTGCCTGGGACTCAGCGACTGTGAACATCTCCTTGACTTGACCCTGCACAGAGCCTTGTGTGTTCAGCATCACAAGCAGATGTGCTGCCTTTATGGATTGCTGGGTCTGTGTATTGAAATGGACACAAGAGTGCACCGGGCCGACTTCCAGCATAGTAATCTGCTCAGATAAATATGCAGAATGGAGGACTAATACGAGGGCGGCTGCCCGAGCCCAATCTTTGACTGACAAAAAAGTGTTTCCTATAGGACTGACCAGGATTAAGCGGACACCTTGAGAGGGTGGAGTGTGTTTACATGCCGGTAACACATTAGTCATCCGTCTGTAATGTGACAATATGTGACACACACTTAATAGTAAAGGAGATTACTGGTTGTCTGGTTCTGCTAATGGCAGTGTCAATCAGCCGCACCACTTTGGTCCAGACTGAAATATCTCAACAACTGGTGAACGTGCTGTTGTGAATCTTTCGCAGAAACCAGAGTGTGATGACTATTGATGCTGATGATCTCCTGACCTTCCTTCTTGTACCACCTGCCGGTTGACATTTACGGTCTTGATTGAAATATGTCAGTAACTGGATGTATTGTTATGGTGTGTAGCACAGATTTTAATGTTCCCTTCTAACTTAATTACAATAACTGTGCTGATCCTTTATCTTGTTATTTATTGCAGTGATCAGGACAAAACTGTAACGTATTAAATACTTTCGTTAGATGACATTCTCATTCATGTCAGTCTAATTTTTACAATACATCATAGTACAGCAGTAACTAATACTGTTACATCTAAAGGGTGGCAGCTTTTTTTCCGCTTTAATAGAATATCATTGTTGTGCTTTGACTCACCGTCGATCTCAATATCCGTGTCAAGTTTCTGAATGGGATCTTGATTACATTTGAAAAGCCAACTCTGTGCATCCAGGTGATCATGCGCCACCTGACTACAGAGGAGGTGTCTGTGTTCACCTATGAGGACTGGCTGTCCAGGACACGTGGACCTAAAAGGACGATGATCTGCGAGATGGCTGCCGTGGTGGACGAGGAGGTCATGGTGGAGCTCACCACCTACATCATCCAAGTCAGGACCAGTGATGTTGCAGGTGAGTCCTCAACACATGCAGGCGGCTCTGCAGGTTCCACTTAAAACATGTTTCCACACATGCAGAGCGTTAACAAAAAATAAAGTCAGCGCAAGAGCTTTCCCAGCAAAGTTATGAAAAACATGTACGGGTAAAATGGAGTGTGTTTTACGGTCGTCCTCAAATGTATTCATACACTTCCATTAAAGAAAAGGCAAAATTCACAACAGTCACTTAAATAACTAAAAACTGAAAAAAGTAATAATAAATAAAAATTTGCTAAATTATAATTTAGTGAAATAAGACATTGCTTTTGAATTGTGGTTGAAAAGAATTATTTAAAAAAAAAGAAAAAGAAAAAACAGTCCCAGACAAATTAGAGCACTTTGCTGATGAGCAGTGGGCCAAAATCTAAATATCTGTCAACAGATGCAGAAGTCTGATTGAGAGTTACAGAAAACACTCGATTGCAGTGATTGGCTCAAAGGGTTGTTCAACAAAATATTCATTTACGGGTCCCACCCCTGCTTGTTTGCCTGTTGTTTTGTTGTTGTTGTTGTTTGTTTGTTTTGTATTTCTGTTGAACCATAACTCAAAAGCAATGTCATGATTTTCATTATTAGGGTCCGAGCACTAACGGTGCAAGGACCCTATTGAAACCCTTGTGATTATTATTATTATGGTACGCAAACTTTGAACGCGTTTTTGAGGGCCTAAAC